ACAGGAAAAGAGGAATGGTTCTTCCATTTGAACCTCATTCCATCACCTTTGATGATGTAACATATTCTGTCGACATGCCAGTGGTAATGTGGAAACAAAAAAATCACTCGAAAAGACTTTTGTTCAACTTTTATAGTATTATTGTGACATAAAATTATTTAATACTTGCAGGAAATGCGGAATAGAGGTGTTCTTGAGGATAAATTAGTTCTTTTGAAGGGTGTCAGTGGAGCTTTCAGGCCAGGTGTTCTCACCGCTCTAATGGGTGTCACTGGTGCTGGAAAAACAACTCTGATGGACGTACTTGCTGGTAGAAAAACTGGGGGATATATTGGGGGGAACATCACAATCTCTGGTTATCCAAAGAAGCAAGAGACATTTGCTAGGATTTCTGGATACTGTGAACAAAATGATATCCACTCTCCTCATGTTACAGTATATGAATCCTTGCTTTATTCAGCATGGCTTCGGTTGCCCCCAGAAATCAATGATGAAACCAGGAAGGTTAGCATCCAATCTCATGCATTTTCTCTGCTTTAATGTTTATTGTGTTTAGTTTAGAATAGGTAGTTAACTAGTTTGAACACTTCCCTTCTCCGGGTTGAGCTGCTGTGACAATTGCCTGTAGATGTTCTCCTGTATTAGCACCAAAACTAGTACCATTTACCATTTCTGGTTGGAATCTATCATGTCATCAAATAACTCAAGAAACAAAACGTTCGTTTAATCATCGTTACCAAGTTTGTAAGTGTTAAATGGTTGCAGATGTTCATTGAGGAAGTTATGGAACTTGTGGAGCTGAAGCCACTAAGGCACGCATTAGTTGGATTACCTGGTGTTAATGGTCTCTCAACTGAGCAACGTAAAAGGTTGACTATTGCAGTTGAACTTGTGGCAAATCCTTCCATAATATTCATGGATGAGCCAACTTCTGGACTAGATGCCAGAGCTGCTGCTATTGTCATGAGAACAGTTAGGAACACAGTAGACACAGGAAGAACAGTTGTCTGTACCATCCATCAGCCAAGCATAGATATATTTGAATCTTTCGATGAGGTAATATCGGAAGAATTAAGAAAGTGGCAATTTCAATTTGTTCTCTTCCATTTCTGAGTTTGTAATCTTTTTTTGTCACAATGAAATGCAGCTTTTGCTAATGAAGCAAGGGGGGCAAGAAATATATGTGGGGCCACTTGGACATCATTCTTCCCATTTAATTAGTTACTTTGAGGTAGAAAATATGCAATGATATATAAGAAAGAGTGAATTCGAGTTTCATTATCTTCATGTAAGCATTTCACTCATGTATGTGCATACGTTCATCTTGAAGGAAATACAAGGTGTCAGTAAGATTAAAGATGGCTATAATCCAGCAACATGGATGTTGGAAGTCTCCACTTCAGCAAAAGAAATGGAATTGGAGATCGATTTTGCAGAGGTGTACAAAAGTTCAGAGCTATACAGGTATTTTCAGTAGAATGAAGTCTAATCAAACTATAGAACTCAGATATAACCCACTGAAAGAACTTATTATGGAAAAGGTACAAGATTTTTTTTGAGAGTAATGTTACTGATATTTAGACTTTGGCATTTTGTTTCAGGAGAAACAAAGGACTCATTAAAGAACTGAGTACTCCAGCTCCTGGTTCCAAAGACCTTTATTTTCCTTCACAGTACTCAACTTCCTTCCTCACTCAATGCATGGCATGTTTATGGAAGCAACATTGGTCTTACTGGCGCAATCCTCTATACACCGCCATAAGATTTCTTTACTCAACCACTGTAGCCGTTGTAATCGGTAGCATGTTTTGGGACCTTGGCTCCAAAATGTAAGATCAGACCACAAAATTGGAAATGTCTTCAATCTCATTTGTTGCTACTGTTTTATCTGACATGAAACTTCCCCATCAATTATTTCAGTGACAAACAACAAGATCTCTTTAATGCCATGGGCTCCATGTATGCTGCTGTGCTTCTTATTGGCATTAAGAATGCTAATGCAGTGCAGCCAGTGGTTGCTGTTGAGCGAACTGTCTTTTACAGGGAAAAAGCAGCTGGAATGTATTCAGCTTTGCCATATGCTTTTGCTCAGGCAAGCAATTCCTTATTTTAAAATATTGTCTTTTGAGTGTTGCTATATCTTCAGAAATCATCATCTTTGTGGAAATTCCCACATTGTTTGTCTCAATTCCTAGGATGCATCTTACATATCTACTAGACAATTCCACACATTACTTATTTGTTTTAAGATGGAATATAACAATCCTAATAATCGTACTTAATAAATAAAATATTGAATAAATGAAAAATAGATGCATTTAATATCTTACAAACATAACCCCTGCATTTTTTCTGATATTTATCTTCTTCTTTTGCAGGTTCTAATTGAGCTCCCATATGTTCTAGCACAAGCTGTGGTATATGGCATCATAATTTATGCCATGATTGGTTTTGAGTGGACTGTCGCTAAAGTTTTCTGGTACCTATTCTTCATGTACTTCACCTTCCTAACCTTCACCTACTATGGCATGATGTCAGTGGCAGTGACCCCAAACCAACACATTTCTTCTATAGTTTCCTCTGCATTCTTTGCAGTGTGGAACCTCTTCTCAGGATTCATAGTCCCACGACCGGTAAGTTTTAGCTCCCTTTCAAATTCATGCATTAGTGCAATTTTGTACTTTCCAAGCATAGAAGTTTTTGTGTACATCCTAACGTATTTTTATATATAATAACCAGAGAATCCCAGTGTGGTGGAAATGGTACTGTTGGCTTAATCCTGTAGCGTGGAGTTTGTATGGATTGGTGGCTTCACAATATGGAGATATACAGAAAAGCATGGAATCCAGTGATGGGAAAACAACAGTGGAAGGCTTTGTAAGAAGCTACTTTGGTTTCAAGCATGATTTTCTGGGAGTGGTTGCAGCTGTGATTTTTGCATTCCCTGTGGTCTTTGCATTGGTCTTTGCTATATCAGTGAAGATGTTCAATTTCCAACGGCGTTAAGAACGAGTTCAAGTATTTAGTACAGTATGTTTCATGTAACATGTTGCAACAAAATGTTCACATAGCTTCCTGCATTCTTTTATTTACCAATTTATCATAGTTGAAATCAACCATTAGGGTATGTCAAAAGTAGTGGAAATTTAGGTAGATTTCATGTGATCATAGATTTAAATCTCATAGCCATTCAAAAAAAAAAAAGTGTATCATATTAAATGAAAGTTATTTTTCTTTCCTTGTAATGTTGAGCATTTTAACTATTTCCTTAAGGCTCTCTAATAACAAAAAGGGTTAAATATGTTTTTATTCTTTGTTCTCTTAGGTGAAATTGAAAATATTTCTTCTGTCATAGTTCACGCAAAAATGATTCTTATACTTTTGAAATGATTGAAATAAATCCTATTTTAAATGGCATTAAGTATATGCTGACCCTGTCTAACAGAAATGTTATGACTCATTCATTATTTGACACGTGTAATTATTTAAAAAAATAAAATTAAATAAAATTAAAAGGTGTCAAGCTTTTAAAAGTCATTTAAATCCACATTTATAACATTTAAAAGTCATTTAAAAAGAAATTTAAACTTCTTTGTCATTTATAAGTCATTTAAATCTAAATTTAAAGCATTTAAAAGTCATTTACCTTATGTTTCTTCCCACCCTCGCAAATTTTTTAACCTCACAAATTTATGTATGTGGTGAAATGTTACGGAGAAACTCATTGTAATCCTACAATGTGAAAAATTGATTCAAACCATGTACGAGAAAAACCCTAAATCATTTTAACAAACTCCCCCCAAATGCATGCATTAGAACACAAAATAAACATTTAGTTTCGCAAATGAAAAAACATACCTTAATTTTCGGAAATGAAAATTCTAGTTATGGTATACCACTGTCGCACACTACCGTTGTGCACCACCGTCGCACTTGTCAGTCAAACCACCGTCGCACCGTCAGTCGAACCACAACGAACCGATGGAACCTTCGAACTTCAAAGTCATTTTGACTTCATACAACCTTTATAGAAAAAGGAAAAAAAGAAAAGACATTTGGTGTGTGACGAGAAAAGAATAGAAAACGAAAAATAGTTGTGACGAAAAAAGAAGAGAGAACGAAAAATGGTTAACTAGAAAAGAAGAGAAAATGAAAGTGGTTGTGACGAGAACGGAAAAGTTTTGGTGCGCGAGGAGAAAAGAAAAGTTTCTACTTTTTATTTTTATTTTTTTATTTTTTTTAATAATAATATCTGTTGAATCATTTCTATTTTTTTAAAGAAGAGTTTTGTTTTTTTTTTAATAATTACACGTATCAAATAATAAATGGATCATACTATCTTTATTAAACAAGTTATCATATATTTAACACTGTTTAAAATAAAAACTTATTTCAATCATTTTAAAAAATATTAGAATCGTTACTATTTTGAATTTGACATAAAAGTACAATTAAAGTACTGACAAAAAACTAAATACATTAACGGATAAAAGTCTACGAAACCAAACAATAGACATTTTTTTTGGCTTAAAAAAATGACACCTTATGTTGTATAGTTTAATAGAGCACAAATTGTGTTTAAAAACTAGAACACAAACTCTAACTCTAGTACACTTTAAATTTGAAGAGTTTTGAAACTGTTAAATTTGTTTATACCAATAATAGTTATTAAGCTGCTGTTATATCACCATTTTGCAATCTAATAATAAATATATTACATGTTTTTTCATTTAAATTTAAAATTATAATTATTTTATTAAAAATCTGATTACTGTTTTTAAAATATTTTGAGCTGTCTACAATTGGAGATTATTATCCACTATTAATAAAAAAGAACATTGCTGCTTCAAAATAATGAAATATCTAACAAGCTTCCATAGCACATGACTATATTGTAAATAAGAAGGATTCGAGCATAAAAGAAAAAATCACAAATTAATGCTGTCTTGGGAAACTGGATGTCTCGTAAAGCAATTGCCGAGGCTGAGAGCATATTAATCCTATAAACTCTCAAGTAGAGCAGTGGCTTTATCTTGCAAAATCTGCCACGCCTGAGTGACATGCTTCCTTTCTGTCAATGGTGCTCCTACTGCAAAACGTAGAATGAACTCACCTGATAAAACCTGCACATGTCGGTTAATAAGGGAAAGAAAATTAGTGAAAATGAGAGAATAAAAAACAAAAGTTACAAAATTATGAAGATAACTTACGCATACCGTGTGTGTTATGAAAACCTTTCCTGTTGAATTTACGGAGTCGAGTAGATCACAATTTAGCTTATTACCATGATCTTCAGAGTTGGGAGGGGGCAACAGCCGAAAGCAAACTAAGGAGAATGTGCGTGGTGCAACGACCTGAGTACCAAATTTGTTGCAATCTTTCCAGGTAAGTAAATAAAGTACTTAAGAACAAAATGCTCAAAATTGGCGTATTTTGACTTTAAACATTATTTAGACGGGCATATTTTGACTGAAGACATTCTCTAATACCTAGTTACTATTGCCCACGAGATGAAAACGTTATGTCTTTCAATTAAGAAATTAAGAACGAAGCTTTTCCTAGAAGGAAGAATACCTTGAATCTTGTGTCCTGACTAACAAGCCCCTCAAAATAAGCAGCTAACTCAATATGGTTTCTAACGTGACTTCGCAGACCTTCCAATCCATAAAGTCGCAACACCATCCACAATTTTAATGATCTGGAATCCAGTATATAGTGAATTGGCAATTTTACACATTTGCTGGTAACTATAAATTTTTTAAGTGCACGAAATTTTTTAGTAGAAAGAGAAAACACCACTGACTTAATAAAATTTATGACATCAGAAGTTCCCATAATCTCTTAAATGAGGAAAAGAAAAAAGAAACTCAGACGTACAAATTCATAAAAATCCAAAAAAAAAAACTACAAAATCAAGAGCACAGCAAATTATTATATAAGAAATGTTAGACCCTTTACTATTGACCGAAATTTATTGAAAATTACCAATGTTGGTGGGTTTAACATATCATTTAATGACTTTCTATCCTGATTTCATAGTTTACAATAAATTTCAACCAATAGTGAGTGTGTTGAAGAGTGTTTTATTAGCTTTCCTCTTATTAATAATATAGGAGCCCTAAAGCATGAACAGTGCCAATTTGTGTGTGTCCAGACGTGAATATGCATGAACATGCGCTGTACAAAATAATTCAACTTAAGAGGAGAGAGATTTCAATACCAAATAGAAAAATATATGTATCTGTTAATAGAAAAGCAATGATAATGTTTTCAAAGGTAAGATTCCAAGGAACCACCTAAAGCGACGTCCAAGAGGAATTTGCCAATCTTTGTAATCTATGACCATGTTTCCTTCAGAGGCCTGCAAATTCCAACAACAAAAGTAGACTATTAAACAAGGAATAGATAACAATAACTGCGACATTTCAAATGACAAGTTTCTTGTTTAAGTAATATATCCCACATATTCTGTTCCATCAAGATAAGAACTGCTCCATGAGAGGTAGAGAAACTAACTTTACTTAGACATAAGAAAAAGAATCGAAAAAAAAATACCCCAGGTTCTTTCTGGTGATCCAATAAGTATTCAATACTTATCACCTGCAACATTTGAAGCAATTCTGTAGGAAGAGGAAAAGGTGAAGGACATTTTTTAGGTGCTTCAATTTTGTTTCTCTCTCTCTCTTATAATAACAAAACTTGGTACCTTAATATGTATTTGTTTACCATTTGGGTTCCTTTAAAGTAGAATGCTCCTTTCTTTTGGATTCAGCGAATAACAATTCATATTATTCAATTTTCATTAAAGAACCAACTTAAAAAATAATGTGATGCTGTCCACGCTGACCTTAACTGAATGGAATATAGTTTAATGTAACATCCACACACACAGAAAAGAGAATAAAAACTAAACAAGATTATTCAGAAGTTTGGAACCTCTTATAGCTAAACTTCAGTATGAATCTCGAGCATGCAATAGAAACTTACCTTGTTTTTCAGAAATTCAGGATTTGTAGACAGTGATTGAATCAGAGAACTTCTGTCCTGTCATCAACTCGTAATCATTTTGACTTATTGTTAATGAAGTAAATTGATATGTTACAAAGAAAGATGCAAAAGTGAGATTGAGGTTAAAAAAATGCATTATGGATACCTTAACCCAAAGTACTGAACAGTCAAAGTTAGTCAGGAACCATTTATGTGCATTCATGTTGAATGAGTCCGCTTCTTCAATACCATCAAAGCAGTGGCGGTACTCTGGACATATACAAGCACTTCCAGCATAAGCAGCATCCACGTGAAACCAAAGGTTGTTGGTCTGCCATAAGACATGCACCACAATATTATGAGACTGTATAGCTCTACAAAATGCATTCAAGAAACTAGTCAAGCAAAATTTGATGCAGGTCTGCGGAGGTTTATGAACCAGTCATCCTAAAAGCCCAAGCAGGAGAAAAAGGGCCAAAACAGTTGGAAAATTAATGTATCTAACTTTTCTTTCTTGCAACTCCACAAGTATGATTATATCCTTGAGTTCCTAACATACAGTCATTTCTGGGTTTTCATATATCAAGCTGCATTCAGAGTCACATCTTTTTTTATTTTAATAACCTCAACACATTGAATCAGTGGCTATACCAGCTTTTTTCATATCATCAATTCAATAAAATATATTACCTTGGCAATTTTTCCCAATGCAGGCAGAGGATCAATAGCTGTTGATGAAGTGGTACCAACCTGCATATGTAAATGCAATGCCAGAAAATTAGTATCCTCCAATAATAGACTCTTAAGTTACATCAAGATTCAGATATGTTTTCACTCATCAACAAGAAATACAAATCTAACATTAGTTCCAAGCAGAGTTCCGCTGATAAACATTTACCATGTTAATTCACAATTTAGTACCATCTAAAGATTTAATTCTTGTAAAAGTAAACAAGCATGATGTTCAACACAAGTCTCTTGGATGTACAGGCCTCTGGAACCACATCCATAATTGAACCGAATTATTAGAATATAGACAGAAAACAGGACATTTATAAACAGGAACCTCTATCTCTGGGTCTGTATCTATTAGATATGATTAGATATTAGTTGATATTGTTTGATATTGTTGAGATATTGTTAGATATTGTTAATCACAATATCAAATAATATCTTTTTATTTACTCTATTTGTATTCTGTTACTCTTTTGAGGAGTACCTTTCTTTATTATAAATACACTGCCCTATGTATGGTAAATACATAAGGGAAATTAACCCTATACAGTTTTTCCCTATATTCAACATGGTATCAAGAGCTTAAGGTCTCTTGGGATTTTTTCGGCTCGCCACCGAACCTGCAGCTGTCGCCGCCTCCATCGCCGCCGCCGTCGCCGCCGCCGTCCGCCGCCGCCGCCGCCGTCGCCAGAGTAGCAGTTCGGACCGCCGAGCACGGGGTTTTGCTCGCCTCCCCCGTGCGACCTCCACCGTGGAAGTTTCGCGGTCATCAGAGCAGCCACGCTCCCTCACGCACCTCCCGAAGCCGCGCCACCTTCTCCCGTTCCGCCGCGCGTGGCGGCGCGTCTCGCCGCCGTTCAGGCCGCCGATCTTTGCGCCGGCGTCGCCTCCTTCTCCTCTCTCTGGATCTGTCCTTGCTGCTCCAATCGGACCTCTTTGGTGTTTTAGGGTTTTCTCTCTCTTCCTCCATGGCATCTTCCGCTGCCACTTCCAGTCTGAAGTTACCTCGTCGGCTCCGGTGGGTCCGAGCAATCTGTTTTTACTAATTATGTCAATGTGAATTTACCCATTGATAAATTAGATGGTACGAATTATGCAACTTGGGCATCTGATATTAGACTTTGGCTTGAGAGTCAGGGGTATGTTGATCATATTACTACCAAGGTAGATGATGTTCCTTCCAATGATCGTGTCCGTTGGAAGAAAGTTGATGCTCATATATGTATGGTTCTCAAGAATACCATCCAATCTTCTTTAAAACAAATTTTTTGATCGTAGGCACATGTTATGACGTTTGGGAACAAGCCAAATTATTATACATCAATGACACTCAACGTCTTTATGGTGTTTGTTACAATCTTCTTGATGTTATTGCTCCTCGAGATAAGGATCCTGTGGCGGATTATGTGGGTAAGATCCATGCTCTTCTCCATGAATTTAATGAGTTATTACCCCCTGCCTCGACTCCTGCCCAAGAATTAGAGCAACGATCAAAGTTTTTCATGGTTTTGATGTTACACGGACTTGCTGATAAATATGCCCCTGTTCGTGACCAAATTTTGGGTTCCCCTGTTACACTCAGTTTTACCGCTACCAGTTCCTCCCTTTTGCGGGTGCCATGTAAACCTCTCAATATTCCCCCTGTAGTTTCTAATGATTCATCTGCCTTGGCCTCTCACCGTGATGATCGTAATCACTCTCACAAGCCAGGCAAAGGGCGTGTCAAGTGTGACCATTGTGGCAAACTAGGCCACAAAATTGACAAATGTTATGCTTTACATGGTTATCCTCGCCGATCTAGCTGCAGTTGCTCGGGCTGATTCTTCCGCACAATCATCTGCTGTGGATCCTCCTTCGTCTGTACCTTCGGACAAATCTGCTATCTTCAATGATTTTCTTCAATGGTATGAGGATCGAAAGCCCTCCAGTTCCACTACTTCATTGCCCACACAGGTACATCTTTTCTTGGTCCGACTCACTCTTCTTCTATTGGCCCTTGGGTTCTTGACTCGAGCGCCACCGATCACATCACTCGGTAACAAATCCTTATTTTCCTCTTTCACTTCTTCTCATAATTTACCCTACGTTACAATGGCTAATGGGTCTACAACTTTAGCTCATGGTGTTGGAACGGTTACTCTTTTTCCCTCGTTGTCCATTGGTAATGTTTTGTATGTACCGGGTCCCCCTTTAACTTATTATCCATTAGCCAGTCTAACTCGATCTCTTGATTGTGTTATCTCTTTTACCAAAACTTCGTTTCCCTACGGAACCGGAGCTCGCAAAGAGTGATTGGCACCGGATGTGAGTCACATGGACTTTATTATCTTCAACCTTCTCCACATGTTGGCACGGTTATGGAGTCTCCTTCTCTCCTTCATGCTCGGCTTGGTCACCCCGGTCTGCGCAAATTACGGCAACTTGTTCCCGGCTTATCCCGAGTTGTCCAATTTGGTGTGTGAGTCCTGTCGGTTAGGCAAACATAGTCGTACTTCCTTTTCTCGTAGTGTTTCCCAGCGTGCTTCATCCCCCTTTGCCTTAGTTCACTCGACATTTGGGGACCCGGTCGTGTTAAGTCTAATTTAGGTTTTCAATATTTTGTTACTTTTATTGATGATTTCTCTCGTTGTACTTGGTTATTTTTAATGAAAAATCGTTCTGAGTTGTTTTCTATACTCCAAAACTTTTATCATGAAATTAAAAATCAATTTGGTGTCTCTATTCAAACTTTTCGAAGTGATAATGGCCGTGAATATCTTTCAAACTCGTTTAAACAATTTATGGCTTCTCATGGCATTCTTCATCAAATTTCCTGTGCTTATACCCCTCAACAAAATGGGGTGGTCGAGCGTAAGAATAGACACCTTATTGAAACAACCCGTACTCTTTTAATTCATGGTGAGGTTCCTCAACATTTTTGGGGTGATGTTGTTCTTACTGCTCTGTTATCTTATTAATCGTATGCCCTCTTCGGTTTTAGATAGCAAAATTCCCCATTCTATTTTATTTCCTCATGACACTCTCCATCCTTTACCTCTCGAAGGTTTTTGGGTCTACCTGTTTTGTCCACAATTTTGATCCTGGTCATGATAAGTTATCTCCTCGATCACACAAATGTGTTTTCTTAGGATTTACTCGATCCCAAAAAGGATACAAGTGTTTTTCTCCTTCTCTTAATCGCTATTTTGTGTCTGCCGATGTCACCTTCAATGAGTTTTCCTTTTACTTTAAGGACCCTACCCTACCTGCTGAGTCTCCATCTCGCTACAGTTCCCATTCCTCGTTCTCATTGATCCTTATGTTGAGGACCATCCACCATTAGCCCCTCCTCCTCCACCACCCCTTCGGGTTTATAGTCGCGAGACCTCGCCCACAACAGACGCCACATGACTCACTCCCGGTGCCAAATACTCGCCTCCTTCGGTTCCAGTCCACGAGTCCGACCTTCCTATTGCCCTTCGTAAAGGTACGCGTTCTACTCGTAATCCTTCTCCACATTATACTTGCTTTAAGTTATCATCGAATTTCTTCACCATTTTATACCTGTCTCTCGTCTATTTCTTCCGTGTCTATTCCTAAATCTGTCTCCGAAGCCTTAGCCCACCCTGGTTGGCGTCGAGGCCATGCTAGATGAACTCGGTGCTCTTCGGACTAGTGGAACCCGGACGCTTGTCCCATTACCATCCGGAAAATCTGTTGTTGGTTGCAGGTGGGTCTTCGCTATCAAGGTTGGTCCCGATGGTACTATTGATCGCCTCAAAGCTCGCCTTGTAGCCAAAGGCTATACCCAAATTTTTGGGTTGGATTATGGTGATACTTTCTCTCCAAGTGGCAAAGATGGCTTCGTTCGTTTATTCATTGCCATGGTCGCTATTCAACAATGGCCTCTTTATCAACTCGGATGTCAAAAATGCTTTCTTGAATGGCGATTTGCAAGAAGAGATTTATATGGAGCAACCTCCGGATTTGTTGCTCGGGGGAGTCTTCCGGATTGGTATGTCGTCTTCGCAAATCTTTATATGGCCTAAAACAGTCTCCTAGGGCCTGGTTTGGAAAATTTAGCGGCGTTGTTCAACAATTTGGCATGACTAAAAGTGAGGCGAGACCACTCGGTCTTTTACCAGTCACTCGAATCTCTGGATGTGTCTATTTGATAGTGTATGTCGATGACGGTGTTCTTACAGGTAGTGACCATCATGGCATCTCTCGGATGAAACAACACCTTTGCCACCATTTTCAAACCAAAGATCTTGGCAAACTTAGATATTTCTTGGGTATTGAGGTAGCACAATCTACCGATGGCATTGTTATATCTCAAAGAAAGTATGCATTGGATATTTTGGAGGAAACTGGGTTGATGAATTCAAAGCCTGTTGACACACCCATGGATCCTAATACCAAACTCTTGCCAAATCGGGGGAGCCAATGTCGGATCCCGAACAAGTATAGAAGATTAGTTGGAAAATTAAATTATCTTACGGTTACTCGCCACGACATTTCCTTTGCGATCGGTGTGGTGAGTCAATTCCTCAATTCTCCTTGTCAAGATCATTGGAATGCGATCATCCGTATATTGAAGTACATCAAAAAGTCTCCTGGAAAAGGTTTGGTGTATGACTCCCATAATCATACAAGAGTTGTCCGCTATTCGGATGTCGATTGGGCGGGATCTCCTCTCGATAGAAGATCTACATCCGGGTATTGTGTTTCCATTGGTGGTAACTTGATCTCATGGAAAAGTAAGAAACAAAGTGTTGTGGCAAGATCCAGGTGCGAAGCGGTGTATAGAGCTATGGCCTCGGCTACCTGTGAACTTATTTGGCTCAAGCAATTTCTTAAAGAGCTACAATTTGGAGATGTCACTCAAATGACACTAGTGTGTGACAATCGAGTTGCTCTCCATATAAGCTCTAATCCTGTCTTTCATGAGAGGACTAAACACATTGAGATTGACTGCCATTTTATTCGGGAAAAGATTATGTCCGGAGACATCAAGGCCGAGTTCGTTAACTCATGTGATCAATTAGCGAGATATTTTCACTAAGTCTTTACGGGGACCTAGGATGGATTATCTTTGTACCAAGCTTGGCACATACGATTTGTATGCTCCAGCTTGAGGGGGAGTGTTAGATATGATTAGATATTAGTTGATATTGTTTGATATTGTTGAGATATTGTTAGATATTGTTAATCACAATATCAAATAATATCTTTTTATTTACTCTATTTGTATTCTGTTACTCTTTTGAGGAGTACCTTTCTTTATTATAAATACACTGCCCTATGTGTGGTAAATACATAAGGGAAATTAACCCTATACAGTTTTTCCCTATATTCAACAGTATCAATGGGATAAAAGATCAGAAATGAGGAAATAAGATTCTAAATAGTAATGCAGAATCACGGACATGCCACCCAACTATTCTAGATATTCGAGAGACATGGACTCTCCCCAAACATTCAAATCAATAATTCCCCTAACTAACTCCGTTCAATCTCCTTTTATTTTCTCTCCCATGTGTTACAATTTGCTGTTTATCAGAGTTATTTCTTTTACAAACAGACTGGGATCCCAGTCCCTTACTCTCTCCCCTTTATTAGTCATAATATAGACCATATTAATAGATATATAACAATCAGTTTCCCAGCAACAAATAAAGAAGAGACAAAGCTGTGATAGCAATATGAAGAAGGATATGTTATCTCTTGATTGGATGCTCAAATGAGTTGAGCAATTTCTAATTTGAAATTCACTAAACATGTATGATAAAGTATTGAAGGCACGAAAATAATGCCCAGTTAAGTTAATCCATTGTACAGAAATTTGTTAAAAATTCATATAAGTGTTCATTCTTACAGTAGCACATAAGAAAAAGGGTACAAGACCCCCTGCAATATCATTCGAAATTGCTTCAGAAAGTACTTCAGGAGAAAGTGTATAATTTGTGGAAGAATCAGTTTTAAGCAACTTGCAAAGCTCTGGATTAAGTCCTGCTATCTGCCAATGAAAATTTAAAAACTATTACAATAAAATTATCTCATCTATTATCTTCAAGAATGCATCTAAGCAACAAAGAGGAAGACTCCCATAAATATAAGATAGCAAGTCAGTCATCTCAAGGATAGAAAATGGATTTTTATAGAAACAATAAAATATCAGAAGACTAGAATCTAGATATCAGACTATCTAGAATCTGGATAAATACTAAACAAATTTTTAAAATACTTACAGAAGAAAAGCTTTTCTCCAACAATTCATTAACTACTAATAGACTAAAGAATAGGCTGAATAAGTTTGAACTTTATTGATCTTAGTTAAAGTCAGATGTTTTCAGGTTTATGGCTGGTGCTAAAGAGCATGATAATCGTATACTTAAGGAAACAAATAACCATTGCACTTTTACTTAGATGATTAAAAATATATATAATATTCTCATTTTGCTAACTATTAACAAGAGGACTAAGATTATTGAATTAAAATACAACTAACTCATTTCCTTGGGTTGAATAATAAATGGATCATAATCAAAATAAATAAAAATTTAAAAGGCCTCTCAGAATTTAGGCTTAAGGTCTAATTCAACCTCACAAAAATAAGAAAAGAGTTGCTCATGCTTTACAATGACTATATTAATCATATTTCTAGTCGATGTGAATCTTAACTCATCTCCTCATGCCAAGGAATAACAAGAGAAAAGATTAAAAAAAAATTGTTCAGTGTTTAAAATAAGCAAGGAACACTAGTCAAAAAAAAGTTAACAATGGCCAAATGGTCAAGAGTTAACCCATGTGTCATTGAAGATGTATTGAGATCTGCAATAGGAAAACCCATGTCATTGAGTATATATGATAAAGCCATTTTCATTACTATGTGTCATTGGAGGTACCTGGCAAGCTTTTTTTAAAGCAGAGTGTGTTTGATCAGATGCATACATCACAAGCTTAGGAAGGGCACCCCTTCCAGCCCTTCTTAAGATCTTGTCACGTGCAGCTACTAGGACAACTAGTACAGCTTCACTTGCTGTTCCCTGAATAACTCCACCACCTTTGCCTGCAATGAAAGCACATTCAATGTTTTCTCAGGTTACATATAGACATAGTATTTGAGTTTTTCTATCAAATAAATTATTCACATGCAATTTAGGTTCAGATTTTTATTACCTATGAAATTGAACTGACCAAGTTTGAATTTACAAGCTCATTCAAACCCAGGAGAAATTTCATATGCAAACCTGAATGATAACTGATTACCAAATTATGGAACTGCCCCATTTTTCTCCTCCTTTCATTCTTTCCATTATAAAAAAGAAAATATATCAATTCAGAAAAGTATAATGGACATAAAAGTCCACATTCTTCTATCAAAGAAGAAGAAAAAGGCAAGACAAAGAATGACTCAGGTTCTAAAAAAACTCACAAAGGAACTTGTGGAGCCTAAAGGAAGAACCGAGGAAGTATCAAAAAAACTTCCTCTATTACAACATTATTTGCCTAATTATAGACTAGTAGTTTGAACTTCTATAGGATATCCCGTAATATCATAGTTATATTTTACAATAGTTTAGAGTATCTTAAATTATAATTATTATATAAGTAAGACTGGTTACCCTATTTTTTGTATTTCATTATCTGTTTTCTTATTTAATTTTGACTGATTCTGGTGTTAGTATCGATGAGGGTTAGTGTTTTATGTTTCTAACACATCCAACATGTTCTCCCATATCAGATAAATATCAACTTCAAAGTATTAGTCTCTATTCTCAACTTTACCTCCCTCTGTACCTAGAATCCCATAATTTCAACAATTATCAGGTAAATTACAAACATCCCTTGAAAATACAATCTCTTCCATTTCAGACAAAAATTAAAATAATAAAATATCCAAGTTCTTTCACTTGAGCTTAAAAAGCATAGACTAGTAGTGCATGTTGTATCTTCACACCCAATACAGCATCCGAAGACCTTACCACTAGAATAGAAATCATCAGGCAGCTGGAACGCCTTAGCAAGCCAGTCCAGAACAATGGTTTCAAGTTCAGTTGCAGCAGGAGATGTAATCCAGCTGAAACCCACAATGTTAAGACCGGCACTGAGCATCTCTCCTAGAAATCCAGCAATGCTACTGTTGGAAGGAAAATACGCAAAATAATTCGGGCTTTGCCAATGCGTCACCCCTGGGAGTATTTTTTCCTGTACATCTACAATTTGACAAACAGTATGATGCTAGCATTGCTCAAACAATTCTACAATCTACTACATAATGAAAATATGATGCTGCTACTACTATTAAGGCTTTGTTTGGATAAATTTCTTAACACTTATAGTAAAAGTAAATGAATTAAGCTTCTTCTGTAACCATGGTTTTAAAAATGCAGTCTACAACCGTAAAGGTTTTCCGATGCACCACAACCGCATCGCAACTGCAATTGAGGCCACATTAGCCCGTTATTTCCTAAAAAAAGTCAAAGCTCACAACGAATCTGCAACTGTGTTGCAACCACAATTTAAAACAATGCCAGTATGTTAAAATTATCTTATACGGAGAAGCTACTCGACAGAGTTTGTACGAATTAACTTCTAATTTGTCTTCTCTAGATGTGTTTATTATTCGAAGTGTATCCAAACGGACCCCAACAATAATATTTTTCATTGCATTAAAAGAAAAGGCTAACTAAGAATCGAAATAAGAAGTTTCACCATCCAAAACATTTTGCAACGACTCAGGGTAATCGGGAGCAGAATCTGGTAAAAGCTTCCCCAGATAACCTGGCTGAAATGGGGGGGATGAAGCAGCATTACATAAAATGAGTTCCACATTATAATTAGGAGAGAAAGATGAGAATAAGAAGAAAAGGAGGGGAATGAAGAACCTGGACTTGGCTGAGAACGGGGAAGTTTTGAATGGTTTTGTAATAATCAGCAATGAAGTCGACCATCTTATGAGCGTGCTCTCTCAGTTGCTCAGCGTCCATGGCCCTCAATGCACTCTCTTCCATCTTCAACAATTTCAAACACTGCACGTAATAGTGTGTAACCAACAACTTTCAATAAACCAGAATTATCCGAAGAATTGAAAGAGTGAAGAAGAGCCACCTGTAATCAAATTGTCCCCAACCCTATTCTATTCTTGTCTCAAATCAATATATTTTTGCGTAGAAAACAGAGTTCACTTGCTTTCGATTATCACAACACTTTTTAAATCTATGCATCCATACAAATAAACTATTATCAATAACATGTGGAAACAAATATTAAAATATAAAAATAATCATATCAATATTAAGTAAACTTACAATAATCCAAAAAAAAATCAGTCAAAAATCAGTCAAAAAATGCGGCGTAGTTTCAATTATTAAAACAACATCTTAAATATTTTTTTAAACTAAAAGATATAATTATATTTTATAAATCAAAGTCTGGGAATGTATTTTGTCAATTTTTTTCTAAGTTTATTCTCTCCCCGTGTCCCTTCAAGTAAAAATCTTTTTAATTTTAACTTTTTCAAACAAATTATTAAACAAATAGAAAAATGTTTAATAAACATAATAAAAATATCAAATATCGTATCTACAAGCCATTATATTTGATAGTGTTATAACTATTCAAACATAGACTATTAATAATAATTTCACGTTATTTGATAATTAAAGTTGTTTACTTTTATTTAAATAATTGCTCAAAATGGCTTTAATCAAATATAGTTTTGATAAATAAGTATAGATTTCGTGATAATATTATAATATATAAAAAATATAAAATATAAATATAATCTAAACAAATTCAATTATATATATATATATATATATATATATATATATATATATATAAAGTTATGCTTGCATTTAACTGAATTTTTGTTTAATAAAAATTTTGATTTTTAAAATTTAATTTGTCCTTAATTACTAAAATATTGATTTTAATCCTTGTGTATTGTTTTAAAAGCATATGATCTAGTTGAGCATTTTATGTCCAAATTAATTTGAGATAATTGGTTTGTCTTCTTTTTGCTTAATAGGGTTGTTTTTTTTTACTTTATATTTATCTAAAATCATAATATTATTCTTAATATAAATAAGTTATGAAAAACTTATTTCAAAAAAATTTTGGATTAATTTTTTTTTTTGGAAGTTTTCTATAAACACTTTAAAATTAGCTTTCTGAAAATATATTTCCGAAAATCAATTATACGACGTTTTCAAAAAGTTTTTAGAAAAATCAATTTAAAAAAATTGTAAAAAATTAATTTTTAAGACATAATCTATAAATAAGTTATGGATTATATTTTTAAAAATATATTCTGCATTTAACAATCAAGAGTATATTCATGAAAAATAAAATCCAAAAATAAGTTACATAATCAAAATATAAAAGAAAAAAATTGGCCTGAAGAGATTGTTGACATTTTATATATAAATTATGGAAGACGCAACGAAAAATAATTGGGGTGCAAAAAGAAGCCGTCTTGAATAGTGGTGGTGTTCCGACCGCACAAGTTGTTGTTATTCTCACCCCACTTATTACTAAGTTCATACTCTTTTACAAAAAAAAAAAAAAAGTTAGGACTCCATGAGTAAGACTGAGGAACACACACCACGAGTTTCGGATATTAATTTTGTGCATCCAGTTTCTCGATTCACAATACCAGTTTTGTACTTGAATATTATTAAATATCACGGTATATTTTCTTATACAATATATCTCTTCAAAATGGTACAATTCCGGATAAGATGAATATGTTTTGAAGATCTTTTACCCTAAATTGGTTCCGAAATGTGTGAATAGTGAGAGTAATATGTGGAAATGGATGCAGTCATTTTCATAGCTTTAACTTCTGACATACCTAATTTTTATATTTATTTTACGACATTTTTGTCTTTTTTTTGTTAAATGGTTTTACAGGTTTGCTGTTAAATTTTCGGGGACCTAGTAATTCAAAGGTGCCAGTACTGAACTGTTTTTACAATGCACACCAACCAAATTAATTTTGTGGGACCTGTTATCTGAAAACTTCCAAAGTCAGCATTAATTTTGTAGGACCTCTCTCGTTTGTAATACTACTAGAGTATTTTATTCAACATAGTTACAGACAACATTAATATTTCAAATTTACCTAATAATGACAGTAAAAACCTCTCGTTTGTAATACTACTAGAGTATTTTATTCAACATAGTTACAGACAACATTAATATTTCAAATTTACCTAATAATAAAAAAGGTCCCACCGAGATTTGAACTCGGGTTACTGGATTCAGAGTCCAATGTCCTGACCACTAGACCATGGGACCATCTGATTGGAATCTGACTATAAAATTAGTATAGTCTTAAAAAGCTCATTACTCTTATTTTATTTATAAACTAGTATTTGGGTTTTGCTTACGTTATTAAATCTTTATTTTATACAATTGAAAAATATAATAAATAAATTATATTTTTAAATTTATTATAAATAATTTTTTTTTAGATATAAGGTTTTTTTATTGATTGATGATATCTTTTACCAAATTAGGAAAAATAATAAAATAAAATAATCTATTAATATTAAAATCAAAATAATTAAAAATAATAATGAATATCACTTAAAAAAACATAAAATGTTTAAAAAAATAACTAATGATTAAACTAACAAATTTTAAACTACATGGACGTAAAGTTATTTAAATTAAAAACAAAATTAAGGTAGTAAATAATAACAATAAGATTATAACAAGGATTCTGAAACAATTTTATAAATTATTTTTATCATAATAAACAATTTTTAATAAGGGTTTAATAAAAAATATATTTGTTAATATGAGATTATATCACAAACTAATAAGTATAAATATATATATATATATATATATATATATATATAATATTCTATTATAATTATATTTTAACTTAATTTTGTTGTTCAATTATATAAAACTTGTATTTATAAATTCATGATAGTAACAGTCATGTTATATAAAATAATTATTATTTAAATAATAATTAACCATCTAATTTATCACATATATAATATAATATTACATATTCGTGTAAATCATATTATATATCATATACTAATATTTTTGGAAACTCATACACTATATTTTAAATTTATAGATTAACATTTACGAGTCACGTTAAATTAAATATTATAAATTCTAAATATGATAATTATATATGATAGGATACCATGTCAATATAACCATACTCTCTTACTTTTATTTTAACCTAACAAAACATACATATAAATTTCATTTGCAAGCATATTATCACTAACCTGGAAACCTCTTACCACTAATTTCTTGACGTATTTGTGTAGCTCAAAGTCAACACTCTTGAAACAACACTTCACATATATACCATGAGTTGTTTCCCTAAAACTTAAATCAATATCGGAGAAAAAATTTACCATGTTTCAACTTCTAATCAGATAGTATTATCTTTTATCTCTTAAAAAAAATTCCAGATTTAAAATTCACAAAAAATTTAATAATTTAAAATAAGAGAAAATATACAAAATGCAAAGATAAAATTGAGGAATATTTTATTTTAGTATTTCTCAAAATTACATGAACACAAGTGGTCTTTATATATATATATATATATATATATATATATATATATATATATATATATATATAATTATGTTAAAAATAGTTAATATGTTGGACAGAGCAACAAGACAGTATCAATGTCCATCAAATATTTATGTTTTTTTTTAATTTAAGAAAACATATTAAATTAGAATAATATCTTATGTGTCCACTAAATTAGATAACATTAAAATATTTAAAAATGTGTTTTTCTATTTCTTACATTAAAAAAAATTATAATTTACTTTTGTCTGAATGTGGGTTTTAGTAATTTTGTTTAATACTTTTGAAGATTTTGTTTTTACAGTAAAAAAATTATACTTATAAATAATAAAAAGATACTCAAATCTTTAAAAATATTTAATAATTTAAATTACACATTTCATTCAATTATTGTACCCCACTACAAGATTGAAGGGAAGTGGAATCTCAAGTTATGTCCCCCAAAATGATTCACAACCTTATCTGTTCAAATCTCTCTCTCACTCTCTTGGGTTCATAAACCACGACCTTATCATTTCTCCTTCTCGAATACACGTGGCACTCTCTACTTGTCACATGTCTCATTTATTTTCAACCCACCAAAGTCAATTTAGTAGCTGGACATTCCAGTACCATGCATCATGTTTTAACTTTTATTTCTTACTACATTAAACAAACAAAAAAACATGTTTTTAATTTTAAAATAGTTTACCTGCTCAAAATAAATGTCATCTCCTTTTTATTTGTGTTCTAAAAAAGTTTTGTTTAATATATATTTAATTACACATATTTATTTTAAACAAATAAATTATAACAAGCATTAATTTAAATTATTTATAGATATTATTATTATAATTATTATGTTAAAAAAAGTTTAATTTATAATATTATACACATTAATCTAGATTTCTTTTCAAAACTAATCTACAATTGATTTGTTATTTGACATTGAAAAACTAGATTGAATTAAAATTATAGTATACATTATTAAAATTATTATATAAATTAACATTTATTATAAATGAGTCATTAATTTTTTTATAATTTAAGATATATATTATAATTATTTAAATTAAATATAAAAATATAAAAAATAAATTAAAATTATGAATATCATAATTAATTATAATAGTATTTTTATAATATCTGCCTTTGCCCTGCATGCCCTACAATTCTCGTGGTCTGCGTTTTCCCTACATGACCTATACTCCGTATGTAAAAGATTTAAAAGTAATTTAAAAATAATATAAGATTATGAGAAAAAGATAAAATAAAAAATTAAATATTTTTTTTGTTATTATTTATCTTATTATAATTTAATTATTAAGATAAATTATTATTTTAAATATTAAATTGAAAAATAAATAATAAAAAACACATATAAATTGTAATTTTATTCTTATTTATTAAAATTATATATATATATATATATATTAATTTAAGATAAAAATTCTTATTTATAAAATTATAAATGATTAAAGATAAATAAACATGCCAAAAAGTTATAAAAAGAGAGAAAAAATAAAAAAAATATTTAAAATAACTATAATAAATATTTATTTGTTTATATAAATAATTTGAAATACTACATTTAAAAATAACACTAATAAATGATAAATATATACTATGCAATAAAAAAATATTTATCTAAAAAAATACAATATAATCATTTTAATGATAAAAAAGTAAATATTACTTAAACATTATGATGTAATTCTTTTAATTTGTAAAATATTAAATTAAATTAAATTATCTAAGGACTAAACCAAAATTTTTTAAAAATTTACTATACTGAACGATTTTATAAAATAAATTATTATATTATTTTTTAACAAAAGATAAAAGACTAAATGTGTAATTTAGTATTTAATTTTATAAATATATTTTTTTAATAAAAAAGTTTACATATTTATTTTATAAAGAACAAAGTATTTTTAAATATTTATTTACAAAATAAATGATTTTTTTAAATAGTTTTAATTTTATTTTATTTTATAAGAAAATAACTTTATGCATTTAATTTCTAATAAGAATATTCGTTTATCAAAGTTAATAATATTTTTTAACACTAACTTTTACTAGACAAATATTTTAATATTATTTTAAAAAATATTTATTGTACAAAACAGATAAATTTTTATTTTTTTCAAAATAAAAAAGATGTTAGGTTTTACAATTGGTAGGTTAGATTGCTGAAAAGGAAAAAACATTTGTTAGGTTAGAATGTTGGTTGGTAACTTGGTATCCTCTTTTATTAAGATGTAGTTGGAGTGATGATTTAATAAATTTTGGAATACACCAAAATAGCTTTTACTACAAACAAACAATAAGTGACAAAGTTCTGAGTATTTAATGTAGATGTTTATTTAAATTTGAAAAATTTCAATTAATGTACGTGGTTGGTAGTAGGGAGATAATATTGAAAATTACATTTACATTGCAACATATTAGGAAAATTACACATCTTATCATTGCTTATAATTTATTTAAATCTCAATAAAAGTTAGGTTATAAAATAAAATAATTTAACTATTTGCTTTATAAAATATAAAATGTTAGGTTAGAATGGTGGTTCAAAAAGTGTACCATGCTCTTAGAGGGAGAGTAAAATTAAGGATTGTTTATAACTTTTTTCTAATATGTACATGTGTCTTTAATTGAAATTTTAAAATGGATATGTGATAATTAATCTATTTTTAAAAAATAAAATACAATTCTATCTTATTGTTTAAGATTTTTTTTTATAAAACTTTATTGTAATTTTGTTCATTTCTTATACATTCAATTAAGCTATTTTGTACAAAATCAAGTTATACAAAAAGATAAAATGAATCCAAAAGTGAAATTTATACTCAATTCCAAATATGTTATCCCTTTATGCTTTTGTATACTTGTTGATTCAAGTTATCACATTGAGAAGATTTCACTTTTGAGTCACATTCTATTTTCTTTCCTCAAACATTCATTTGATTAATTATAGCTGTCTTTTTCTTTTATTGACAAACTTTACAATCATATATGCATATGCAACATGGGTCCATACCCTAAATAAGTACTCATAAAAAGTAAATCAAATCCTCACAACCACACCTTTTGTATAAACCTACCAAGGGTATAAAATTCACCTACCAAGTTTTTTCATGCATCTTCCTAACCCTAGATCTTTTAAACAAAAGTGCTTCAATTCTTGTGGGTGCATTCAATGTAACCCTAATTGAAAATAATCTTTTAAGTGACTATTTATATTACTTTTTTTAATGAGATTCTATCTCTAATTTGAATGTGAAATTTTAAGAATTAATTATATTTTTTTATCATTTAATTAGCACCCTTTTATTGATGTTATTATGAAAAAATGTTTTTTTTTTAAATGTATTTTATCATGAAATTTCTCTCTCTTTAATTCGTGAGTATTAATCTACATTGAATTCTTTGTTAAAAGTGTTTAATAAATATACGTTTATATACACATTGAACACATTGAAAGTAATTAATAAGATTATATACGTTTTTTATTCCCATAATTAAAATTTACTAATAAATATATAATAGAAAAATAATTCCTTATGTAGCATAAATATTTTATAATATTTACTAGATTAAACATGTATACTCTTTTTAATTTTTTTTCATTTTGTTATTATAATATCAATATGATTAAAAAATAATTTTAAAATGATAAACACATTTATTTATTTTTGATTTTACTATATTTTTTTCACAGTATAAATAATTTTACTTTCTATCTCTTTATATTATTTTTTCATTTTTATTCACTTATTTTTCATCATTTCGTACAAACTAAACATTTATAACTAAATGAGAAAATATACAATAAAGTAATTAAATGAAATTGACATTTTATTGCTTTTTTTTTAAAGATTAAGTTACTTTGTTGATATTTGACAAAGACCTGGTTCTGATGCTGTTTTTCAAAGTTCAACCATGTTGGGATTCTCAAATCCTCAAAAAGCACACTATTGTGGTTGGTTTGATTAATCTGAATCCACTACCAAAACCATTTCTTCTCACCAAAACTCTGTATCCAACAAAATTTTGTTGTTTACACATTTCAGATGCATAGAATTAGATGCTCTCATTTGCAAAATGGACAATTTCACTCGTTTCTTTTTTGGAATGACGAGATCCCTAACATGATCTCATCACTCATCACATAAAGCCAAGAAAATGTGCATCAACATGTAATATTCCTTTTGCCAGCAAAAACTTTCAGAAATGCAAAATTCTCCACTTTCTCTCCTATTTACCATCACCATCACACAATCACATTTGGGTGACTAAAAATTATATTTTTATTGGAGGTGCTCCAATCTCAAGACCATTGCCCCCTTTTTATTTATTGCACCCTTTCATATAAATCACATACATAAGGAAGACAACTTTGTTAGGCTTTAGACTATGAAACCTATTCTCCATGTACTTAAACTATGTCTAACGTTGTTTTTTAATTAATTAGACATTTTTGTGATCTAGAAATAGCAAAAAATAATAATATATGAGTGTTTCATTTGATCATAATTAAATAATTTTTAACATTCTTCAAATATTGACAGTTATGCACCTAACACTCAAAATTAAAGTTAATATTATAGGAGTTGATTCCCTGTCTCTGCCATGAACCTATAAATAATATGGTAAATAGTGAAGCATCCCTGACTCACTCTCACTCACCCACATCACAACCGTACCCAAGCTAGAATCTTTAGAAAACCATTCCCATTAAAGCGAAAAAGGGTTTCCATTCTCATTCAGCAAACACCAAATCTTCCATCTTCTCAAACCTGATATAGAAAAGAAAAAGTTATTCATCCTCGCACGCCATTTTTATGGTTACCAGCATCATCCACACACACAGGGAAGCTTAGTTAAAAGGGCAAATTAACAGAATATTAAAGAGAGCAGAAGAGAGAGAATCACTTCTCTCTCTATCTCTCTCCTTAATACATTGTTGTACTTATTTCATAGCTGTTCTCTTATCATCATCTTCACCGTCACTGTCGTTGTCGTTCTCTGTATTGGCGTGGTGCTCGCTTTCTCTTCTCACCCAGGTGCGATATTTTTCGACAGGTTGTAGCTTTTCGAAGAGCTTGATCATCACAAGCGATTTCTAAGACCAACCCAGGTAAGTTTTATTTTGTTTCTCTTCTTCTATTAGATTCCCGATTCCCGTCTTTGTTGTCTCTTTCTGAATTTGGATTGTGAAATAGCTGCGAGGTGCTGCTACCTGTTGTTTTTTGTGTTTCCGTGTTCCGTTCCACTGTTTCTCTTCGGGTTCCGTGTTGACGAAATTATCTTTGTATGCGCTACAATGTGTCTGCAGAATCTGCCACCAGATGGTGAAATGCCTTTTTTTCGTTCTCTCACGTTTCGATGACATCACTACAAGTTTAGAAACTTCTCAAATATCACCGACTCTCTCTTCTGAATCCGCGTTTTGCTTCGCACAACAACAATGGCCGTCGATGACATTGGAATCTCGTCTCCAACGTCGTTTTCTTCTTCTTCTTCTTCCTCTTCTTCGGGATCGTTTCAGAGCCTTTGGAGTGCGATCCTGGGATTGCCTTTGGTGGAAGTGGTGGCAATCTGTGCCAACTTGACACTGTTTATTGTGTTTGTGTTCGTTTTTTTGGCGAGGAGGGTGCTTGTGTGTGTAGGTGGGGGAGTTAGATTTGGTAAGGACAATGGAACTGGCAATGCCAACCACGGTTGCGATAGTGTTGATTTGGAAACACGTGACGTTCGGATTGGAACGTGGTTCAAGTTTTCGGTGTTGTCTTGTTTCTATGTTCTGTTAGTGCAAGTTTTGGTGTTGGGGCTTGATGGGGTTGCTTTGATTAGAGAAAGAGACATGGATTTGGATTTGGGTTTGGCTCTTCTTTCTGTGCCTTTAGCGCAGGGTTTAGCTTGGATTGCGTTGAGTTTCTCGGCTTTGCATTGCAAGTACAAGGCGCGAGAGAGGTTTCCAATTTTGCTCAGAGCTTGGTGGTTTATGTTGTTTGTTATATGTTTGTGTGGTTTGTATGTTGATGGGAGGGGGGTTTGGATGGAAGGTTCGAAGCACCTGCGTTCTCATGTTGTGGCGAATTTCGCGGTCACTCCTGCTCTTGGGTTTCTGTGTATTGTTGCAATTAGGGGTGTTACTGGTGTAAAGGTTTGTAGGATTTCTGAGGAGCAACAACCATTGCTTGTTGAGGAAGAACCAGGGTGTCTCAAGGTTACTCCATATGCTGACGCTGGCCTTTTTAGCTTGGCCACGTTGTCTTGGTTGAATCCCCTTCTTTCCATTGGGGCAAAAAGGCCACTTGAGCTTAAGGACATTCCCCTTGTTGCACCGAATGACCGATCCAAGACAAATTATAAGGTTTTGAATTCTAATTGGGAGAAATTGAAGGCAGAAAGCACATCCGGGCAGCCTTCGTTAGCTTTGGCAATTCTCAAGTCGTTCTGGAAGGAGGCAGCTTGTAATGGCATATTTGCTGGTGTCACCACTCTTGTATCGTATGTTGGTCCATACATGATAAGTTACTTTGTTGATTTCTTGGTTGGCAAAGAGATTTTCCCACATGAGGGGTATGTCCTTGCAGGGATATTCTTTGCGGCTAAGCTTGTGGAGACCTTGACTACAAGGCAGTGGTATCTAGGAGTGGACATCATGGGTATGCATGTTAGGTCGGCTCTAACTGCAATGGTGTATCGAAAGGGATTAAGGATATCAAGCCTGGCCAAGCAAAGTCATACAAGTGGGGAAATTGTTAACTACATGGCTATTGATGTTCAGAGGGTGGGGGACTACTCTTGGTATCTCCATGACATGTGGATGCTTCCTCTGCAGATTGTTCTTGCCCTTGCAATTTTGTATAAGAATGTTGGAATTGCCTCTATTGCAACACTAATTGCTACAATAATTTCCATTGTCGTCACTGTTCCCGTGGCCAAGATCCAAGAAGATTATCAAGACAGATTGATGGCTGCTAAGGATGAAAGAATGAGAAAAACATCTGAGTGCCTGAGGAATATGAGGATTCTCAAACTTCAAGCTTGGGAGGACAGATATAGAGTGAAATTGGAGGATATGCGTGGAGTAGAGTTCAAGTGGCTTCGGAAAGCCCTCTATTCTCAGGCTTTCATAACTTTTATATTCTGGAGCTCTCCGATATTTGTTTCAGCAGTCACTTTTGCTACTTCCATATTGTTGGGTGGTCAACTGACAGCGGGTGGTGTACTTTCTGCTCTGGCTACTTTCAGGATCCTTCAAGAACCTTTGAGGAATTTTCCAGATTTGGTGTCAACAATGGCTCAGACAAAAGTTTCTCTTGATCGGTTATCTAGTTTCCTTTTGGAGGAAGAATTGCAGGAAGATGCTACTATTACCTTGCCACAAGGCACCACTAATCTTGCTATCAAAATTAAGGATGGTGCCTTCTGTTGGGACCCTTCATCTGCTAGGCCTACCCTATCAGGGATAAGTATGAACGTTGAACAAGGGATGTGCGTGGCTGTTTGTGGTATGGTTGGTTCTGGGAAATCAAGTTTTCTGTCTTGCATCCTTGGAGAAATTCCTAAGACTTCTGGTGAAGTATGTTGGAGCTCTTGAGCTTTTAATCCCTCTTTATTCTATTAATCTGTCATTTATTTTAGTCTTATTTCTATTAATCTGTCATTTTAGTCTTATTTCTATTAATCTGTCATTTTGGTCTTATTGATTTTTAACACCTTTTAAAAAATGCATTGAATGATTTTGCAGGTCAGAGTGTGTGGATCTGCTGCATATGTCTCCCAATCAGCATGGATACAATCAGGAACTATAGAAGAAAATATCCTCTTTGGAAGCCCAATGGACAAAGCAAAGTACAAAAATGTTCTTCATGCTTGTTCACTGAAAAAGGACCTAGAACTTTTCTCACACGGTGATCAGACAATTATTGGGGATAGAGGTATAAACCTGAGTGGTGGGCAGAAGCAGCGGGTTCAGCTTGCACGAGCACTCTACCAAGATGCTGATATCTATCTTCTTGATGATCCCTTCAGTGCAGTTGATGCTCACACTGGATCTGACTTGTTTAGGGTTAGTTTTCCTTAGAATGGAGTTGATATTACTATTTAAAATTGTGGATATGGCTTATCCGTTGACATGGAACTGCAGGACTACATATTGACAGCACTAGCAGATAAAACAGTCATTTATGTGACCCATCAAGTTGAATTTCTTCCTGCTGCTGATTTGATACTGGTATGGCAGCCTTGTACAGTTTTTTCTTGCAATAAGAGGCCAAGTTAATGATAACACTTTATTTCACATTTAAATTTATGAATTGTGTACTCCTGAATGATGATTCAGGGATTAAGTTTTTAAGATGCCCTCTGATATGTCAAAGTGAGGTTTTTCTCTTGATATCCTATTTGCATTTTAGTTCTCTCTTTATATTACATCAAGTCAGTTTGTACACCCAGTTGCTTCTTTATAGAAGGAATATTTAGCAATTTACACCATTGGTATTTTTGAACGAAAGAAAAGTCATGTATAGGATAGGATAGGATACGATAGGATCCATTGACACCAGGTGTAATTAAGTCTCATCCATGGTTACAATTGAATCCAATGGCTGAAGTTATCTTACTTAAAATAAAATAATGCAGAATGAACCACATGACCTTCTGAAATTATGAACCCCTTTTCCCTTTCTGATACATCAATGAAACACCTTTTGTGGGTGTTCTTGTTTGTTCGTGATTTGAAGCACTGGATTCAGGTTTTCTATTGTGAGGCGATTGGTTTCCTTGCCTGTCCAACTCGTGTTATCTCTAACTATAACCAATCCCCTGACATGTTACTTTGACATACCAAATCCAATTAGCGAAAGCTTTGACATTTCAACAAATAATGGTTTAAGCATAATACTTTCAGCGACAATTAAGTGAAAGCTTAATATATTTTATAATAAAATAATTCATAACAAAATTCACCTGACTCCTGATTTATATACACGTCAGATTTTGCTATAATTGCTTGTATAGTATATTTATGGGATTGCATTGCCCCATTGCAACTAGCTCAATATAGGAAGAATCAATCCAAACGTTTCATGTTATATGAAATTTCTATTTTATTTTTCCTCTTAAACAAAGTTTTAAGTGCTGAAAAGAACTTATGTGATGTTAAGATGATTTTTCTAAATTTAACTTTCCATTCTTGAAGGTTCTTAAAGAAGGCTGCATCATACAGGCAGGAAAGTATGATGATCTTTTACAAGCAGGAACAGATTTTAATACTCTGGTTTCAGCTCACCATGAAGCCATAGAGGCTATGGATATCCCTACTCACTCCTCTGAAGATTCAGATGAAAATCTAACTCTGGAGGCATCTGTTATGACCAGTAAGAAATCTATTTGTTCTGAAAATGATATAGACAGTTTGGCCAAGGAAGTGCAAGAAGGAGCATCTACTTCAGATCAAAAAGCAATTAAGGAGAAGAAGAAAGCAAAGAGATCGAGAAAGAAACAGCTTGTTCAGGAAGAAGAGAGGATTAGAGGTAGAGTCAGCATGAAGGTCTACTTGTCATACATGGCAGCTGCATATAAAGGCTTGTTAATTCCACTCATAATCCTTGCACAAGCACTATTTCAGTTCCTTCAGATTGCTAGCAATTGGTGGATGGCTTGGGCTAATCCTCAAACAGAAGGAGACCTGCCCAAAGTAACTCCCTCAGTTCTTCTTCTTGTTTACATGGCCCTTGCTTTTGGCAGCTCATGGTTTATATTTGTAAGGGCTGTTCTGGTTGCCACTTTTGGTCTTGCAGCTGCACAGAAGCTATTTTTGAAAATGCTTAGAAGTGTTTTCCATGCACCAATGTCGTTCTTTGACTCTACACCAGCTGGAAGGATCTTAAACCGGGTAAGTTCTCTTTTCGTCATCTTGTATTTTTTTAACCTATCTCTACTTGTTTGGTGTAGAAAATTATAATGTGTCACCTGTATCCCACCAGGTATCAATTGATCAAAGTGTTGTGGATCTTGACATTCCTTTTAGACTTGGCGGGTTTGCTTCAACAACAATACAGCTTATTGGTATTGTTGGTGTAATGACAGAAGTTACATGGCAAGTTTTACTCTTAGTTGTACCAATGGCTGTTGCTTGTTTGTGGATGCAGGTAATTAGAAATTTTTACAGCTTAAAATCTTTCTAACTGCTCTTACAACATATTTACACACGAGAAAAAACTGTTTTCTTTGGGAGAAAAGTAGGAATTTTATTGCGGAGTGAAGTGAGGAGACATTGACAAAGTACTAGTAATCTTCCAATCACTCTGCATTATTTTTTAAATGCTTGTATATACCCTATGTTTTAATTTGGTCTGCCATCAACCAATTCCATTGCAGAAATACTACATGGCTTCCTCAAGGGAACTGGTACGTATTGTTAGCATCCAGAAGTCTCCAATTATACATCTTTTTGGTGAGTCAATTGCTGGGGCATCCACCATCAGAGGTTTTGGACAAGAAAAAAGGTTCATGAAGCGAAACCTCTATCTTCTTGATTGTTTTGCACGACCATTCTTCTGCAGTCTTTCTGCAATTGAGTGGCTTTGCCTGCGAATGGAGTTGCTGTCAACCTTTGTATTTGCTTTCTGCATGGTATTGCTTGTGAGTTTTCCTCGTGGAAGTATTGACCCCAGTGAGTACTTTGTCTGATAACTTACATTATCTCCTAAGTTTCATAAGTGGTATGCCTAATCTTGGTGGGTGAAGTTATGTAGTTTTTATTAGAAAATAGATTTACTTTCACAAGTGATGATTGTACACGATGCTAAATTGAATAATGGAACATTATTCTGTGCTCATTGAGGTTACCTTTTCTCTGTAGGCATGGCTGGACTTGCTGTGACATATGGCCTAAATTTAAATGCACGCTTATCACGGTGGATACTCAGCTTTTGCAAACTTGAAAATAAAATTATTTCCATTGAGAGAATTTATCAGTACAGCCAAATTCCTAGTGAGGCACCCACTATTATTGAAGATTCCCGCCCTCCATCCTCATGGCCAGAAAATGGGACAATAGAAATAATTGATTTGAAGGTTCTAAGCACAGCTTCACATTTATGCTTTTTTGTCTTCTTTTCTTTTCAAGTCATATATTGATTGTTTATTTCTGGGTGGGATAATATGATTGGTTTACAGTATCTAATCCTAGCTATTAGGCATGTTACATTAGATATCTTTATTATGATTTTTGTGCTGCAACTGCCTTTGTCAAATGCGTACTGGATCTCATTTCCTCTTATGCCTAATATGTCTCTCTTGAAGGTCCGTTACAAGGAAAATCTTCCTTTGGTGCTTCACGGAATAACATGCACATTTCCTGGCGGAAAGAAGATTGGAATAGTTGGACGAACTGGCAGTGGAAAATCTACCTTAATCCAGGCATTATTTCGATTGATTGAACCAGAGAGTGGAAGTATCCTTATAGACAACATAAATATTTCAGAGATTGGCCTTCATGACCTTCGAGGCCATCTCAGTATCATCCCACAAGATCCAACTTTATTCGAAGGGACCATTAGAGGCAATCTTGATCCTCTTGAGGAGCACTCAGATAAAGAGATTTGGGAGGTTTGTATTACTTCATAACTGCATGCTTTTAATTACACAGCTTGTATTATCTGTTCGGAAAATTGCTTATGAAGTTTACTTGTATTCAGTGTTGGATGTCTATATATTGTAACAACCAAATTATAATTAGTGAAATGGAGATATTAGGCAGGATTAAGGAATAATAAACAGGTGAGGATATGCAAGCAAAGAGATCAAGCTGAAAACAGATATTGATAAAGGGGACAAATGAGAACATGAAGTCAAAAATATAAAAAAGGCTCTCCAATGCTTGGTTTAGAAGTAATATATGCAGTGGACTTCCTTAATCATCCCCACCAAAAACAAACCAAGCAGAGCCTCCACTATTGTCATACCTAACAAACTTCCTCCACATATGTACCTTCGGCAAATAAGGAGGAAAACTCACTACATATGCCAAAAGTAACCCTCCATCTGAGATAAATTTGGTATTCGGAAGAAACTAGGAACTAATCAAAAGTGGTGGATACTGGATTACCTGTTCATGTCTGATAAGTAATTTCGCTGCCTAATTTGAAAGACTGTTTGTTTAGTCTGATTAATATCACACTCCAAATCCAATTAACCACTTTATATCTTTACACCTAAGCAAGAACTCATGGTATAAGAAAATAGACCAATAATCCTTGATTTTTTATAATTATGGCTATTTGAATAAGTGCAGTATGTGATTATTGGGTTTTAATTTTTCTCAGGCTCTTGACAAGTCTCAGCTTGGCGAGGTTATCCGTGAGAAAGGACAACAGCTTGATACACCTGGTAGGTGACCAAGAAAAATATGAAAAGCCACAGTTTCTTTCCTTCCTCTCCCTGTAAAACTAAAAAAGAGTAGTCGGTCACAAGTACCCATCTTAACAAATACTTTGAAACCTGCAGTTCTAGAAAATGGAGATAATTGGAGTGTAGGACAGCGACAACTTGTTGCTCTGGGCCGAGCACTGCTGCAGCAGTCAAGAATACTTGTACTGGATGAAGCAACAGCATCAGTTGATACTGCCACAGATAATCTTATCCAGAAGATTATCCGAAAAGAGTTCAAGGACTGCACTGTCTGCACCATTGCACACCGTATACCTACCGTCATCGACAGTGATCAAGTTCTTGTGCTCAGTGATGGTGCGTAGAGTAACATCATGTCTTATTCTTATGCTTGATTTCTATCCATTCTCTTCTTCTTCATTTATTTATAAATTTGCATTATTGTTTACTAGTGTGTGCTTCTGATGTTATCCTTTGTATACTTTTGCAGGTCGAGTTGCAGAGTTTGACACCCCTTCAAGACTATTAGAGGACAAATCATCCATGTTTCTAAAATTGGTGACTGAGTATTCATCACGTTCGAGTGGTATACCAGAGTTTTAGGTCCAATGGAATGTGTTCATGGTGTGGCTGGAGCATAAAACAGTTCAAAAGTTGAAGCAGAAATTGATGCCACCTTGCGTGCCACTGCTGCATTCGGGGCATGCATAGACACGAAATGGAAACTAACAAAATAAAGATGAGAGGTTTGTGCCTCATCAATCAAGCATCCTACTGGGAGAAATTTGTTTGATTCTTCCCCTTAAAATTGAGAAATTCATGCATGGTTAGCATGCTTTGTAACACAATAAGAGAGTATCTGTGATTACAGGAAAGCAACAAAGTAGTTTGTAGAATGAGGCACTAGGACTTTGCTTTGTTAGAAAGTGTAGAGTTTAAAGTAGTTTTGTGTATTCCACAATTTTATTGTAGTCAAAGTTTAGAATTAAGCTCATATCCATCCCCTTCCTAAAAGTTATATTACTCGTTTTTTCTAAAATGTTTCTTAACTATCATGTTTTTCTTAATTTTTATTACCAAGAGTAGTGAAATTATGTTCCCCATTCTTGAACGTAACGTTTGACTAAAGCCTATTTTCTGCTCAGCTGGGCCTGTCCAACATGAGCTCACGTTGGGACTTAACCAAAAGAATATATTTATATTAATAATTCAAAATGTTCTGTTTCATTTATTCTTTTGTTTTTTCTTTTAAAAAAAGTACCTCATTATGATTATATTTTAAAAAGTGAATTTTATCCAAGTCCAATAACAATTTGTTCGGACTCCGGCCCAAGGTGGACAGTTATAAATATCATGTCGCACAATCCAACCTGAATTTATCCTGGTCAAGATTCTTCCTAATTTCCACGTAGAGTGTCCTTCAAGTAATTCCAGGAGATCGAACATTGGGTTCCTTCAGCCAGAGGAAACCTTTGGATTCAATCTTAACTTTGACAAAACTGAAAAATCAAAGCCATGCTCTAGCAGAAACAATCATATTTCCCATAGCAGCAGACTCTGTAACTAGTGATGACTCTTTCATGGATTCAAAATTCAAGCATGACCCCTTTGAATACATCAACTTGGATGGCAAAAACGTGGGTGCCACAATGCACTTGCATAATAGAAGCACAAAGGGTGACCCAAAAGATTGCTGTTGCATCAACATTTATGTGAACAACAATGTTCAAGGTGTCTCCAATTCTGTGTTGCATGGTAGTGAGGTAAGGATGAGAGACCCAGGAATTAGTTTATACTTTGAAAACTTGAAGGTTGATAGAGGAACTCCCACATCGGAGCAGAAATTTTGCTGGGGTAACAGATTTGGATTTTGGCTTTGCATAATAAATTTGTTGGCTCTTATTTTACTCCTGGTGCTTCTGTTCTCAACTAGATTCATCATTATTGTCTTCTAATTAAACTAGGTGTGCTATAAATTCATTTTGAGGTTATGTGTTCAAGTTTGACTTCAACTTATGGCTGTGTTGATTCTTTCATGTCTTTAGTTTCTGCTATGTCAAGGTCAACTTTAAGAATGCTGATCGTGATTATATAATAATTAACAAATTCTGGATGAAGACAACAATAATATCATTTTCAACCTAAAGGAAATCTCTTTGGGATCTAAAATTGTTTACAAGACCTACATTGGATCAACAAAATTGGAGTTATTATTTCTATATTTATCTACCTTCCCTTTCATTTTATATCTATTTCATTTTCTTAGGTTCTTCCCCAATGAGGTGTATGCTCAATATTTTCTATTAAAATCATTGAACATTAAACGTAGGTTAGTGGTAGCCCACTAGAAGATGAAGATTTCTAGTTGATGTCCAACATGAGACACAGAGGTTGTTAGATGTATTCATTTACATGGATTTCTCTTGCTTTATTTTCCTTTGGGACATTTTCAAAGAAGAACAAAGATTTAAATATTTTTTGTACATGTAAAAAGTATCATTTTTTAGCTCGTAGTTCTTACAACTTTTTCTGTTTTTGGTCCATATGTAATTTTGATTCACCATTGGTATGAAAAACTCCTATTATTTTAAATGCGTTCATAATTCATTGATAAGTTTATTATATAGATCCCATCTAAACCTAGTTGGACCAAAAATTTCTTAACCTAATTTAGTGAAAGTTTCCATAGACCAGGGTGGTCTATATAATTGGCGCAATTGAAGGCATTGTTAGTGGTGAGTTAGGATGCGTCACTTTTTTCACCCCTTTTTCCAAATAATGTGTGAAATTTAGGGATTGATTGTTGGAGTGTCCTTATTGGTGATTTATGTGACCACTAAAGGTAATTTAACACTTTATGTGATTCAATTGTTGGAGAACGAATATAATATTTCATTTTATAAATATTCTTTAATTCAAATTATAAGATCTAAACTGTTTTCTTCGTTTAAGCAATAATAAATAAATAGGGATAGATAAAAATGTAAGAAATATATAAATTTAAGTGAGAAATGAGAAAAAATAAATATATAGAAATTATAAATAAAATAATAAATTTTACTATTTCTAAAATTACTTTCACCTTTTTCTTTTCTTTTCAAACATACTAATTTAGTTCTATTCATCTTTCTTTTTTTTTTCTTTTGAATCGTGCTCTATTCAACATTGATAAACATATTCGTTATTAGCTAATAAACATTTATAACGCGGTTTTATTTGTTTTTATATATCTATAAAATATATATATATATATATATATATATATATATATATATATATATATATTAAATTGTCATTCCTTTAAGTTCACCATTTTATAAACCTTATAGAAGACATAACTGTTAGTTGGTATTGATTATTTTTAGTGGGTTTTATATTTTTGTATTATTCCATCATTTCAAAATAATATAGATTTCATTTTGTATTTTAGTTTCCAAAAACAGATGTAAAAAGTAGTATTAAAATTATATTTGAAATAGGTTAGGAAAAACTTGTTTAATAATTTTAATTTAAAAAATATTTAAATGACAAAAAATCTTAGTGAAAATTATAATTTTTTTTATAATGGGATAGAATTATTGATAAACATGTGAATACCATTAATTAATAATAATAAACTAAAAATAATATATTATCAATTGTATTTTTTAAATTAAAAATAAAAATATATTTTTGAACATCCTTTTAAAAAATTGTTATTAAATATTTTTTTTGTAATAATAAAAATATTAAAACTATTTTTAAAAACAATAAATTCTTAGAATTTGTTAGTGTTTTCCTTTTGTTTTAGTTTTTATAAATATTTTTAGATATCAATTTAGAAAAACTGTTTAGAAATAAATTGAAAATATTATTTTATAATTTTAGTTTGAAAATTATTCAAAACAAAATAATATAACTCAAAAGTTAATGGAAAAATAATTTTGATATTTTTATAGTCATAAAAATCAATAATATTCATTTATAATATATTTCTTATTATATTTGTTTAAAATATATTAATTTTAAATTAATAAAATAATATTATATTATTAAAATATGAGATATATTAGTTTATTTATTTGATTTTTATATTCATTATATTGCATTATATCAAAATAATATAATTAAAAATTTATATATAAAAAAAATTAAAATTATATATATAAAAATAAATGTTTCATTAGTATAGAAAAAATAATTTTGTAAAATATTTTTTAATATATATATTTTATGTATAAGTGAAAAGGGTTAAAGAATAACAAACTATATATTTTTTTAATGAATAAAAATATATTTTTAAAAATTATTTAAATATGAGTTAAATTTTTTTATTAAATAAAAATAGAAAGTTTAGTAATTTGTAAATAATAACAAAAAGCCCACAAAATTAATATTCTGAACTTTCTTTTTGGGTCATCTTCGTTCTTAACTTTCTCGTGTTATTTAACAACATGTAATGAGCAATTTAATGGAATACGATATAAAAATAAGTAATGAATTTTAGTTTTTAATTTTTTATATTAAAAGTGTTTCTGACAAATATCTTAAATAAATAAATATCATTTTATTAATTAGTTGATCAAATAAATAAATTTATTATATATTTAATTATGAGTAATTTTTTTATTTAAATAATTTATAATTTATAATCAAATAAAAATAAAAAAATTAAATAATTTATGAGAGATTAAGAAATAAATATGATGTCTTGATTTTTTTTAATGATGTTATATATTTTGTATATTGATCATTCATGCTGAAAACATTATAATTAATTATTTTAAAAATATTCAAAAGCACCCTTAACAGATACTGTGTTTTAAATTATAGGAATTAATTTCACTAGATAAGAAATAAACACAAAAAAAAATATTTTTTTCTTTTTATTTTTTACAACTTCTTTACTAATGAAACCTAATACCCAATTATCTATATTCTTGTTCTGAAGTCAGCTAATGTTTTCATTGTGAAAAGTTTTTGCAGTGATAACAACAAATATATGTCTAAAGGGAAAAGTTACTTTTGAAATCTTACGTGCTCTTTAAATAATCTAGTCACTGTGTTCAATCATAAGTGCCTCACCTCTATCTTATTTAAATTAATATTAAAAGCAATTAAATAATAGTTATATTTAACTAATTATAATCATAATTATATTGAAAAATTGTATAATAATATAGATATAAAACTATTAATAAAAAAAGTATTTTAACTAGTAAATTGAGTAACTGGTTTTGGGGAAACCGACACGTGACAGGAGGTGTGAGTTGCGCGAGTATAAGAAGGCACCGACACGCGACAGTTGCGACCAGCGCACGTTGCTAATCCCAACACTCTCCCGTTTCCAAACTCTGCACTCATTTCCGTTCTCCACAATCCATCACAGACGTGATCTAATCTCCATTTTCAAGCCCTTGATTTCCTCGCCATTCACGTTCCCTTTCTTCCAAACGCACTCTTCCCAATTCTTTATACCTCTTTAGGGTTTGGATGACCGGGCGGAGTTCAATCGGGATCGGAATCGGGCTCCAATGAGACGGCGTCCCGTGGCGGCCTTTCTCCCCGACCAGATGGAGAAAACCTCCACCAGGAACCATAATTCCCGCCTGTGCTTCCTCGCATCACTCTCCGCATTCTTCTGGTTTCTCCTCCTCTACTTCCACTTTGCCGTTCTCGGAAACCAATCCCCCAAACCAATCACCCCTCTCCCCGTCACCTTCCAACAGCCTCGCAAAAACCTCGGCTCCCAAACCCTAACCCAAACCCAAACCCAAACCCCTCCGCCACCCTCCTTCCCTTTTGCGCGTGCCCTTCGCACCGCCCTCAACAAGACCGACAAGTGCGGAGGCCGCTACATCTACGTCCACGACCTCCCCTCACGCTTCAACGAGGACATGTTGAAGGAGTGCAGAACGCTTTCTCTGTGGACCAACATGTGCAAGTTCACCACCAACGCCGGCCTCGGCCCCCCCTTGGAAAACGTTAAAGGCGTCTTCTCCGACACTGGCTGGTACGCCACCAATCAGTTCGCCGTTGACGTCATCTTCAGCAACCGGATGAAGCAGTACGACTGCCTCACCCGCGACCCTTCCCTTGCCGCTGCGTTCTTCGTCCCCTTCTATGCGGGCTTCGATATCGCGCGCTACCTTTGGGGCTATAACATCTCCGTCAGAGACTCTGCGTCGCTTGAGCTCGTGGACTGGCTCATGAAGAGGCCCGAGTGGAAGATCATGAACGGGAGGGACCATTTTCTTGTGGCGGGGAGGATCACGTGGGATTTTAGAAGACTCTCTGAGGACGAATCGGATTGGGGCAACAAGCTTTTGTTTCTGCCTGCGGCGCGGAACATGTCCATGCTTGTGGTGGAGTCGAGTCCCTGGAATGCGAATGACTTTGGGATTCCTTATCCCACTTATTTTCACCCTGCCAAGGATGATGATGTGTTCATTTGGCAGGAGAGGATGCGGAAGTTGGAGAGGAAGTGGTTGTTTTCTTTTGCTGGTGCGCCCCGGCCGGATAACCCGAAATCTATTCGGGGCCAGATCATTGAGCAGTGTAGGAGATCCAAGGTGGGGAAGTTGTTGGAGTGTGATTTTGGGGAGAGTAAGTGTCATTCCCCCAGCAGCATAATGCAGATGTTTCAAGGGTCACTTTTCTGCCTTCAGCCTCAAGGGGATTCCTATACCCGAAGATCTGCTTTTGATTCAATGCTGGCTGGGTGTATACCTGTATTTTTTCATCCGGGTTCGGCTTACACACAATACACTTGGCATCTGCCTAAGAATTATACTAAGTATTCTGTCTTCATTCCGGAGGACGATATTCGGAAGAGGAATGTTAGTATAGAAGAGAGGCTTAGTCAGATTCCTGAGGAGGAAGTGAGGATCATGAGGGAGGAGGTCATTAGCTTGATCCCTAGATTGGTGTACGCGGATCCTCGATCCAAACTTGAGACTCTTCAGGATGCGTTTGATGTTTCGGTGCAGGCTGTGATTGACAAGGTTACCAATTTGAGGAAGGACATCATGGAAGGCCGCACTGATGAGAATTTCATTGAGGAGAATAGTTGGAAGTATGCGTTGTTGGATGAGGGACAGCGCGAGGTTGGACCTCATGAATGGGATCCCTTCTTTTCTAAACCCAAGGACGGAAATGCGGATTCCAATGATTTGTCTGCTGAGGCTGCAAAGAATTCTTGGAAAAATGAGCAAAGAGATAGGTCGTGATTCAAGTGAGGTAAAAATTGCATCGGTACGTTCTTAGATGTGGTTTAATACTGACTCAAATGGTTTCCCTAATTAGGGAAGAATTACAGCTATAAAATAATTGCTGGTTGTTGCTATGAACGTACTCCAGAACTTGTACCTGAGTTACTGAGCAGGATTTTTCGTTGAAAACCACTAGCATGGAGAGATAATCTCTGCTTTCTACAGTTTTGTTACATAGATTTTTTTTTTTTTTTCTGATTTTCTGTCTTATGTATTCGCGTTAGTGGTTTCTAGATGTATTTTAATAAATAATTTCTTTGTTATTATATACTTTTCCCCTTGATTCATATAGAAAATATAAACAAAATTATGGTTAGCAATGGCGGAAGTGTTCACTTGAATGATATATCATTTGGCAGCTGCATTATCAGAGTTGCCTTCGGTGTTGGTGACCTTATTCGGATTGTGGTTAACATTCAAAAGATAGATTTCTCTGTTTTGATGACCGTGAAAATAAATGTCTTTCACTTGCTATATTTTACTAGTTGTTTGTCTATTTTTTATAGCTAAATCTTGCACACATATTGCGGGTATTAGTTTGACTGTTTCAGGCTGTCATCTGCTTAATTGGTTAATTACACGCCCCGATGTAACATGGATCTAATGAAAACCACTATTTATTTGTTACCTGTTGCTTCTGATTTGTGTAATGCATGTTTCTTGTTCTTTTTTGTTTTTCTCAGAGTTAGAAACAAAAATTGGGTGCACAATGAAATCGACCCTTTGTGTAATTCAGTTAACAGATGAGAGTATTCTGATTTCCTTTGTTGTGGTATCTAGGATTTGAATGTACTAAAAAAGAAGTTGGCATGGATTTCTCACTGAAATTATCTAGGATTTCATTTCTTTCTTTATATGTGAATGAGCTGACTCTTGTGATGTTGAGAGTGATCATATTTAAGGCTAATGCCGGGAGCTTCTTTTCAAGGAAATTTTTTACATCTTTTGGAATGACTTGTGGGTGGCATATCATACTGTGGTGGATTGCTTGCATGGCAAACCATAGCATTTGTCATTGTCTCGTTAATTTTAGAAAAATGTCTTCTTTTCTGTGTCTGAATATCCTTTTATCTTTGTCGTCTTCACACTGTCCAATATGACCTGTGGGAAAGGGTATGACTGCAATATGGCAAGGTAGAGAACTCGTGGGTTCAAAGTGATTATAAAAGGATGTGCAAACAAACTGTATTGCATACAAAATCATCATGATCAATAAGTGATATCATTGTTTGTAGACTAGTGGTGTGTGATCAATAATATGATGTCAAATATTTGTTTTGGCTCTTTAATCTTGACACAAAGAAATTCAAATTCCATTTATTTGTTATTTTATATCCTCCCAAAAGTCCTAAATAATGAGATTATACAAAACTACGAAGGTTCTTATTGTGATAAAATTTTCTGCTCAAGGAAAGTGGAGACTGCCATAACACGATGAAGACGAATTGTAAAAAATGAATGGATGAGAATTTGATCTGTCTACTGCTACATAACTGGAAAGGGGATTGTTGTAGGTATCCTATATGGAAATAATGATTTGTTCTTTCCTAATTCAGAAAAGGACGTTTCATTGCCCTGGTAGGAGTGGTAGAAGAAATGAAGATGAGTAATAAAGTAGAGGAATTAAAATGACGCAGGGAACCTGACACACTGAAAACAACGAGTATAGCTTTTTGTTGCTTTACTAGTTATTGGCCAGTTGTTGTTTTATCAGTGTTTCCACAGGACCCACAATGTACGTATGGTATGTGAAGCCACTAAGGTGGATACACATGCAGGTATGGACAAAGGAGTTGAATGAAAGAAAGATGCATGACTCGCTGTGTTTTTTCATTTGGGAGCTCTGGCATAGCATGTATCAGAGCCTTGGCATTTGGCAACACAACATCTCAAGAGCTCATGTGATGCACGAGGTTCTGGCGCTCATGTCTATAGTTACTCACTTCTGCATTAATATCATCCATCTATCTCTTTAGTCTTTTATTAATAACAAGTTTAGCAATTCGACTAACCATAAAATCACATCAAGTCATCCCCAAGTTTAACACTTGGAATAACAACAAAACGTAGGTACTAGGACGTGGTTAAAAAGAAGAAAAAAAATAGGGCAAAGTGTGTCGCCACAGAACAAAAGAGGAAACAAAGATGGTGCTGCATAACAAGTTGTCAACACAAGCTAGTCCAATGGGTCACTAACCTGTTAGTTTGATTTTACATCGAATAAAAGGATTAATAGATTAAATGATCCATATTATGATAAAATATATATTTTTTTAAATAAAGCTATGTTAATAAATTAACTTTTACGTATAACTCGTAATTTATATAATTAACTTATTATTATTTTTTAAGTTTTGGATTAAGAAATTTGATATATATATATATATATATATATATATATATATATACATATATATATATATACACACATATATATATATATATATATATATATAAAATATTTTCTAAACATTTATATTGGAGAATTCGGGTTGGTAAATCATAAAATTTTCTAAAAACTTTCGAATTTTGAATCCGATAATTTTTTTGATAGAAGGATAAATAATCTAGTCTTTGGAATTCTACAATCCAGTAAAATTTCGGATGGCACATTATTAGTGTATTTTTAGATTTTCTTTCTATTTTATGGAATGAGTGATTCAGAAATATATTATGGAGTCTTCTGCATTGAAAAATCAGGATAAGTTTTTGATGAATGAATATGAAAAAATATATTTTTTTTAAGTTTTGAATTATGAAATCTATAATATAATTTTACTAATCTGAAAAGATTAATTTGGAAATGATTTTTTATGATTTAAATTTTGGATTTAATTTTTTTAAATAAATTTTAGAAATATTGTAGAATATGATTTTTCGAAAAAATTTCTAAAAAACGTATTCCAAAAACCTGAGAGAATAAACCTAAAACTTATTTATAGCAATCCCACGTTTTAATTCACTCCATCATCTCTCTAATTAAAAAAAAATTATTTGATTTATGTTTTATCTCATAAATAAGAGGTAAAAAAAAACTTAAAAAAAAAACTTTTTTTTTAATTTTGATCTTTATTATTTTATTACTTATTTATTTTAGTCGGACTCTTTTAATTCGCATAAATAAAGATACGCTAACTATATTATAACGAAAACGAATATAGTTTAATGATAAAATTGCGATTCGTTTCATAGATAAGAGATCTCCGTTTTGATTAGTATTCCCATAAAATATTATCCTAAGATATAAGGATATAGGAAGAAAGTACGAAGTTCCTCGGAAAAATAAAATAAAATCCTCTCCTGAATTAGGTTGTCTTGACCCAATGCTTCTTCTTCTTCATGGCACCTAATTCCTGATGACAAAATATGAAAATTAATTTAAATTTTCCCTTTAAATTTCATAACTAGAATTCCCATAACAAAGTGAATGTCTATCTTAAGCCTCCCTTGAAGAAACTCTGTATTGTTTAACAAAAGTTATTCTATTTATATCAAAACCACATTTTCCTAATGAAACATATCATCATGAATAGTTGTTTTTAATTGAGAAGAAAAAGAATAATCTTAAGTTATTTTTACAAGTTATCCCAATACTATGTTTGAGTAAGAGTTGAAATAATAAAGAAAAAAATAATAGACAAATAAGAAAGAAGAATTTGAGAAAGCTAGTTTTTTACTTCTTCATTTTTACTAGAAGAAAAACACACACATAAGGTGAATAGGTAAACGAATATACAAGAGTACTATTTTGGTAACGTGGAATTCACAGAATTTGGAACTAACGGCTACCTTTTTTTCTATTAAAGCTTAGTAAAACATCTCGTGACACTTTCTGCGATCTTTCGGCTCCTCAATTCTCAGTCAATTTCAGTTTCCGAGCCTCTCTCTCTCTCTCTCTCTCTCTCTCTCTCAACAAAGGATCCTCGTGATGAAGAGCTCTCATATTTCACGAGCTTCGTATCAAGAACGCTTACATTGTTCAGTTTTGAATTCTTCTCAACACCTTCAAATACCCCTCCACAAGATCATGATGCATCAACCCACATCCTCGTACTACAACAACCAATGGAGTCCAAATCCAAAATTCAACTCTTTTTCCTCAACCTTTTCATCTTCACTCTCACCCTTATCAATGCACAAACTCTTGGAACTTACATAGTTCAGCTACACCCTCATGGCACAACCAGCTCTGCCTTCACCTCCAAGCTCAAATGGCACCTTTCATTCATCCAACAAACCATTTCCTCCGATGAGGACCCTTCTTCGCGCCTTCTCTACTCTTACCGTTCCGCCATGGACGGTTTTGCTGTTCAGTTAACAGAGTCTGAGCTTGAGTACCTCAAAAACTTGCCTGATGTTATCTCAATTAGGCCTGATAGGATGCTCCAGATTCAGACCACTTATTCTTACAAGTTCTTGGGACTGAACCCTGCCAGAGAAAATGGTTGGTACCAATCCGGTTTCGGCCGTGGAACCATAATTGGGGTGCTTGATACTGGAGTGTGGCCAGAGAGTCCTAGCTTCAATGATCAAGGAATGCCCCCAGTTCCAAAGAAATGGAAGGGTATATGCCAAGCTGGAAAGGCCTTTAACTCTTCCAATTGTAACAGGAAACTTATTGGTGCAAGGTACTTCACCAAAGGCCATTCTTCGGTGTCACCTTTCAGAATTCCGGAATATCTCTCTCCAAGAGACTCCTCTGGACATGGTACACACACTTCATCCACTGCTGGAGGCGTGCCTGTGCCATTGGCGAGTGTGTTTGGTTACGCTTCTGGCGTGGCTAGAGGAATGGCTCCTGGTGCCCACATTGCGGTGTACAAAGTGTGTTGGTTCAGTGGCTGCTATAACTCGGACATCATGGCAGCAATGGACGTGGCAATCAGAGATGGGGTGGACATTCTCTCCTTGTCTCTAGGAGGCTTTTCTGCGCCTCTATATGATGATAGCATTGCCATTGGAAGCTTTAGAGCAATGGAGCATGGGATTTCGGTTATATGTGCAGCAGGAAACAATGGTCCTACGGCAATGTCTGTTGCCAATGAGGCTCCTTGGATTGCCACCATCGGTGCAAGCACACTAGACAGGAAATTCCCAGCTATAGTTCGCATGGGAAATGGACAAATGCTCTATGGAGAGTCCATGTACCCACTGAGCCATCCAATGAGCAATGGAAAAGAACTTGAGCTGGTTTATTTGTCTGAAGGGGACACCGAGAGTCAATTTTGCCTCAGAGGGTCTCTTCCAAGGGACAAAGTTGAAGGTAAAATGGTGGTCTGCGATCGAGGCGTTAACGGAAGAGCAGAAAAGGGACAAGTGGTGAAGGAGGCTGGTGGCGTTGCTATGATCCTCACTAACACGGAGATAAACTTGGGAGAGGATTCAGTTGATGTTCATGTATTGCCTGCAACTTTGATAGGATTTGATGAAGCAGTTACCTTGAAAGATTACATAAACTCCACAAGAAGGCCTCTTGGTAGGATTGAATTCGGAGGAACTGTGATAGGGAAGTTCAGAGCTCCTGCAGTGGCAAGATTTTCAGCTAGAGGACCAAGTTATACAAACCCTTCAATCCTCAAACCCGATGTTATAGCTCCAGGAGTGAACATCATTGCTGCATGGCCTCAGAACCTTGGTCCTACTGGCCTTCCAGAGGATTCTAGAAGAGTTAACTTCTCTGTTATGTCTGGTACCTCAATGGCATGCCCTCATGTTAGTGGAATTGCTGCTCTCATTCACTCGGCTCACCCGAGTTGGAGCCCTGCAGCCATCAAATCTGCAATCATGACAACAGCCGAGGTAACCGACCACACTGGAAGGCCAATACTTGATGAAGACCAACCAGCAGGAGTTTTTGACATGGGAGCTGGACATGTGAATCCACAAAGAGCATTGAACCCTGGACTGGTGTATGACATTAGGCCAGATGATTATATCATCCACCTATGCAGCCTTGGATACACAAGGTCAGAAATATTCAGCATCACACACAGAAATGTGAGTTGCAATGCACTCATGAAGATGAATAGAGGCTTCAGCCTTAACTATCCCTCATTCTCAGTAATTTTTAAAGATGGGGTGAGGAGAAAGATGTTCAGCAGGAGACTGACAAATGTGGGAAGTGCTAACTCCATCTACTCAGTGGAGGTTATGGCACCTGAAGGAGTAAAAGTGATAGTGAAACCCAAGCGGCTTGTATTTAAACATGTGAATCAAAGCTTAAGTTACAGGGTATGGTTTATATCAAGAAAAAGGGTTAAAAAAGGTGATGGTTTGGTGGCCTATGCAGAAGGGAATTTGACATGGGTACACTCACAAAATGGTTCCTACAGGGTTAGAAGCCCGGTGGCAGTGACCTGGAAGTCAAAGTAGCACGGAGAAGACTAGTATATTATTAAGTATCTCTTGAGGATTAGTTTATTATGATTATTGGTTCAATAGGTTTATTTATGATAGCAGAGTTTATACTGAAGTTGGTGTTACGAGTTTTGGTAGAAAAAACTCGATAGAAATCTTTAAGATGAAGCCCATTTATAAATTCTAAATAAATTGGTTGTGCCAAGATTTAGTCAAAAACACTCTGCTTTACATGCTTTCTTAATCAGAATATGTAACTCATTCACTCATTAAAATTTCCCACTCCCGCGTCTCCCAAAACAAGGTTAGATCGATCAAATTTTTTAAAATTTGCACAAAATATCCCATTAATATTCTTTTTTATAGGTAAACATATTCAACAATGATATAAGGAACTAGACACTCACAGGCCACAAACAAGCTGTTAAGTTGGGAGCAAGGTTTTAAAATATGGTCAAAGTTTTCATCATGATTGTTAACATTGTGGAATTATGGACAAATGCAACCGATCCGCAATGCAGTCGTGGAGAGCCCAAAAACATTGACAATGTCATTGCAGCTGAAATCATGGTGGCAGATTGATTTTTAAACCGTGGTTGGGAGAAAACAGAAAAGTTGTCGGATTAAAAAACTGGTTATATTAACATTTTCTGAATTCTAGGAAAAGTTAAATAACTTATAAATTGTTTAACACACAAATCTACCACTGTTTTAAGGTGTGATATATTCTTGTATGGTTACCGTGGTATAACATCAAACAGTTATGTTTTACCTGATTACATAAAAAAATGTAGAAAAAAAAAACATAACGAAGGGTAGAAAACAGAATATTGCATAACAACTTATTTTTTAATGAATTGCAAGCCATTTGCATCAGAATATCGTTCCATGAATCTCATAAATCTGTCCCAGTCCCGTGGAGTCCGCATCACATACTTGGCTTCAATTCCTGAGGGTTTTCCATTGACAAACTTAGCACTAACATCAACAGACTGAAGGACCCCTTCCTCATCAATCATGTATAAACCAGTGATATCACCAACTTCACGAGAAGAATCAAAAACTGAGGGTTGATCAAAATTGAAGATGGCCATACCATTTGTTCCATCACGTGATGTAGTAAGCCTCACATCTGGTATTGTCTGTTCATCAGTTCCCTTGATGAACTGTATGGTTGGTTTGACCATCATCATGATAACAGGCATGTGTGTCGGAGGATTTTTCTTTAGCTTGGATAGCCTCAAACGTTGCATGTTTACAGATTGGCCATTGAATGAAGAGTGTTTACTGTGATGAAAAATCATAGATGGGACTGCAAATACAAAAAGAGATTATCATGTTAGCCAAGAACAACATCAGACCATATAAGCAGTATACTACTTCAAAACTACAAAAACATTCAAAATTTGATTTTTATTACATGCATGAATGCATGAGGGTATGGTATAAATTCAATGACGGCCCATACAATGTGCAGCTTAGTTTCATCACCTCTATTGTTTTGGAGTAAACCTATAGGCACACTTACTGAATCATTTATGAAAAACCCTTTAAAACAGAAGAAGAAGAAAAATGAAGTTAGTGGAGATAGATGTACCTGAAGATGAACGTGAGTTGTGAAGAGTATTTGAGAGTGAGAAGGAGAACGTGAAGGAATGGAAAGAAGCTGCCATTATAGCTGCGACGAATCGTGTGTAGTAGTAGAACAAAGAAAGAACGCAGTAACATTGTGTTGTGTTGTGGGAATTGAACAGAGCAAAGTACGTGTAACACAGACAGCCACTCATTTTATGAACAAGGGTTTTGCGTTTGTGTGAGGAGAGACAGACACGTGGGCTGGATTTGATGGCTCAAATCAGATTCACATGCTGACATGGCACCGTTACATTTAGACACGTTACTCTAGTGTAAATGTGTGTAGGGGGAAAAGTATTGTTCAATTGTTTTAGAAATTATAAATTTTAAGTAATTTTAAAAAATTGGCAAAATGAGTAAGTTATTTTTAAAAGAAAATAAATTATAAAAAATAATTTCCGATACTCACAAGTTTAAATTAAGGTGAATAATAATTTAGATACACTTTTTTTTAATTTCTTTAAATATTTAATAAAAACAAAATTAGATAAAAATTACAAAATATACAATAACTCAAACATAAAAATTAAAGATAGAATAATATTTATATATAATTTTTTTAATTTTATATTTAAGATTTTATTTTATATATATATATATATATATATATATATATATATATTTAAAAGTCATATATTAAATAGGTTATCACCACTTTCTTAAAATTTTCAAACATTTTCATCATAAAACTAATAATTCCAAATGTTAAGAATCTTTATGAATAAAAAAATAAAAAAATAATTTTTTTATATTTAACTCTACTCTTTTATATTTTTTTATTAAATACAAAACTAGTAAATAATTTATTCAAAACAAAAATTGATGAGACCATATAAATTTGGTCATGATTTAGTTAAATGAGTCAAAGCTAAATTTCATATCCTTTAAGTCAAGTCAAAGCTTTACATTTGACTCGTTTAAATGAGCTAAATTTAAATTATATTTTTCTATCCATAAACCTAAATTAAAGTTTAAGTATTTGTCCTTTGATAAATTTATTCCCACCCAAAACAATAATCATATAATACACAGATATACAGAGAATAATTTGGACTTTGAAATATCACCTTCTTTCCTAAATACTCTTTAAACTAATTAAATTATATAGTCTCTTACAGTATAAGTATTAAACATCATGTTAGTCCTTCAAGTGTTGATTTTATTTTTTCAAAATGTTAGTAAACTATATTAGTTCAGAAACTATATTAATAAGCATTTAATATTTTTATTTATTTATATAATTTTATTAAGTTAAGAATTATTTTGAGGAAACACTCATTAAACGCCGAAGAAATAGTGAAAGACTATAATCATATAGTGAAAATTAAATTGTGTTATCTAAACTATTAATTAAAAAATTAAGAATTTTGAATTGTTTTACTGAAATAAAATATGTTTAAAAAGAAAATTATGTAGCTATTCAAGTTTTTGCTCAAATCTCATTTGAAATTCAAAAATTTCTGAGAAATACAAACAAACTAAAATAAAATGAAGTTAGAGTTTTGAGATGAATCATTATCTTTTATTTTCAATTAGATATTAAATTACCAATTTTGTTAGTTCTTATTTATTTATTGATTATTGTCTTGAAAGATCACTGAGGACAATAATTCGGGAAAAGAACATTATCATTAAATAATCATTGAATGTTAATAACGAGTGATTACCAATGGGATAGAACATATATAGGTCATAGATAGAATTGGTTAAAATCCCAATAATATAACATAGGTGAAACCAAAATCCTTAACTTATCCAAAAAAGAAAGAAAAAAAAGAAAAACTCTTTAATGGAACCTGGTTTGGAGCAAAATTTATCCATCCAGGTTCTTGGTATAATGGAAGCCCAAAATCCATGTTTTGGTTTTGATTAACCAAAGCAAACCTAGGAATGATTTTTCCAAAGCAATACTAGTCTCAGCCACGTTAGATGCACGTGCTGCATGTGCAATTAGGAGCACTATGATCTCATTGTGGCATCTCTTCGCTGTCTGCAAAATGGTTCTCTTTTTCTTTCCTTTTTTTTTATATATTAAATGCTGAAAGCTGGTTCTGGTTTTCCTTGTCACCATGGCATTTGGACACATGTAAGTAACCAAAGTTTTTCACTTCTAACCTCTCTCTCCATTCTCCACCCAAGAAATGTGAGATGGAATAACCATCAGACCAATTCAATAGAACAACCATCATAAACATTTTGTTTAGTTAACTCAATATTTGAAGTTCTCATTATCTCTTTCCAATAATAAGGAAGGATGTACTTCACTAGGAAGCTGCTATTTCACATGGCTTCCATCTGTCTTAGCATCAGATGTGATCCAAGCAATAGAAAGGGCAGTAATACTGTCACTAATTTAATGTCTTGTTATAGCAGTCCACACCATGTGTGCATGTGAATATTGAAAGGGAGAAAGGAAAAAGAAATATATTTTATATGAGAAGTGGCAGTTGGTAGGCTCAGACCATGATTGATCAAGAGTTGCACTTTTCTCCCATTTTCTTCTGTTTGCCAATTCCCCTTATAGTTTATTCTCCATTATTATGAACATGTTCCTATCTTCATCTATTACATGTTAATTTCTTTATCTATAGGACTGATCTGTGTTTTGTAAGAAAAAGAAAACAAATAAACAAACCTACTCTAGGGAAACAATGACCATTAATTCCCGGATGCAATTGAAGATTTATTCTGGCACATATGCATATGCTTCTACTGTTTCACCATTGGTCAATTGAGTGTACAAGTTATGCACTAGTTTAAAATACCCTGTACTATTTTTGTGGCCCATGCATTTTATTTATTTTATGTTAATGGGTGGTAGAACTTGTCTTATTTTCAAGTTTCTTTCGCCCTATAACATGGAAAGATTCCCCCATCAAAATCATAATGAATAATCAACATTTATGAGCCCAAAACCATCAAGTGCATGATGGGTGGTGTTTCAGATCTTTATGTTTTAAAATCTTCATCTTTCTCCCTTTCCCACCCGTGTGTCTTTTTTCTTCCTTTCCTTTCTAGCCCTTCCTAGTGGACTTAAAAATATATACAGGGGCATGGTTTTTTCTCTCTCTGTTAAAAGCTATTCTCATCATCACATGACTGGTTTGGAATTTGATGTTAAGATAATCACAAGTACATCAATGTTCTTTGGTGGATCCTACATCAACCATATGTTAGTTGGCCCACTAATGCATCATTTCTGAATCTTTGTATACTTAGAAGTTACCCTTCAATCAACTAGAATTGAAAGTCCATTTCCATACTCATAGCGATGGAAAACACTTAAAGCGGCTTAACAAAAAGTTGTAGGCAAGGTACTGGGAAAGATGCTTTAGACAATGCTTATTGTCTGAAAACAAAACCATAAAGCTCAGAGGAGGTAGAAAATAAAGTTCCCTCTAACACTTTAACAGTAGTACTGTGTTAATGTGGTTGTGATTTTCTTCCATATTTTTACCTCGCTTTTTCTCTTTTCCCACATCTGATTGATCTCAACTACAGATTGTGGAATTGATGTATATTTGAAGCTGTGAGATCTAGTGTTCGGATAGTTTAATTGGAAAAAGTAACTCAGACATGGGGTCAGTAATTATTATGAATACATTTATTAATATTAACTGTTAGAAAAGAAATATAAAATCTTAAGCCGTTGTGGATCAGTTTTCTGATGTACTATGTGGAAAAGATTTTAAATTCTTATATTCCTTCGCTCACAATCTTGTTAGCAAGAATGTGATTACCGTAAAAGGAATCCGTAATCAACAAACAAGAGATAAAATCTTTCTAAATAATAAAAAAAATAACTGCGTTATACCTCTACAAATTGACAAGGATAGGCAAAAGAGGAAGAAGTAGAAACTTAAACAGCATTAAGAACCATATTATCTCCCATGTTTTATGTCGGATAAACTTCTAATAGATCCAAAGCTTCACCTGTCTTTACATGCACTATTGTAGACTACTAGCTGCTTTGAAATACCACCACTTCATAAACCTGACCAGTTCTTAAAATTGACCGAAACTACTCTTCTAGTTTATTTATTGGTCATGTAATATACAGAATCACATGCATATGCAGTTTTTCCAACCACTTCCTCACAAACTGCGCATATTATTCTCTGCCAGTGTTGTGTCCATCCCCTCAATCATCTCCCTCGTTTCACGAGAATGCAATTGATGAACAAGTGAGCCATTAGTCAAATAGAATGAAGAAGATCAAGAACCAAATGAAAATCCAGATTTTCATCTTCTTTTGTTACATTGGGTGTTCATCCTATGGTTTTTCTGCTGCTGCAAATGATGAAGTATCGGCTTTGCTTTCCATAAAAGCAAGTCTCATCGATCCATTGAACACTCTTCAGGATTGGAAACTGCATGACAAAGTACTGGGAAAGGATGCAGCTCATTGTAGCTGGACAGGCATCAAATGCAACTCAGCTGGAGCTGTAGAGAAGCTTGATCTCTCCCACAAGAATCTCAGCGGTACAGTATCCAATGATATACAAGGACTTAAAAGTCTTACTTCTCTCAACTTGTGTTGCAATGCTTTTTCATCATCATTGCCAAAATCCTTAGCCAATCTCAGTGCACTTAACAACCTTGATGTAAGCCAAAATTTCTTCATTGGTGACTTTCCATTAGGCCTTGGAAGAGCATGGAAACTCGTGACATTAAATGCATCCAGCAATGAGTTCTCAGGTTCTCTTCCTGAAGACCTTGGAAATGCCTCTTCCTTAGAGATGCTTGATCTCAGAGGCAGCTTCTTTGTAGGATCAGTTCCAAAATCATTCAGTAACTTGCATAAGTTGAAGTTCCTTGGTCTATCAGGGAACAATCTGACTAGTAAAATTCCTGGAGAGCTGGGACAACTTTCGTCACTGGAGTATATGATCCTTGGATATAATGAATTTGAAGGTGGCATTCCAGAAGAGTTTGGCAACCTTACCAATCTTAAGTATCTTGATTTAGCAGTGGCCAATCTAGGTGGTGAGATTCCAGGTGGATTCGGAAAGCTCAAGTTGTTGAATACAGTTTTCTTATACAACAACAATTTTGAAGACAGAATTCCAGCATCAATTGGTAATATGACTTCTTTGCAGCTGCTGGATATTTCTGATAACATGTTGTCAGGAAAAATTCCAGCTGAAATAAGTCAGCTGAAGAATTTAAAACTTCTCAACGTGATGGGCAACCATCTGTCTGGTCCTGTGCCTTCTGGCTTTGGAGATTTGCCACAACTGGAGGTACTTGAGCTGTGGAACAATTCCTTGTCAGGGCCATTGCCTGGTAACCTTGGCAAGAATTCACAGTTGCAATGGTTGGATGTGTCATCCAATTCATTCTCTGGAGAGATTCCAGAAACCCTTTGCAGCCAGGGCAATCTCACCAAGCTTATACTATTCAACAATGCCTTCTCTGGTCCAATTCCATCAAGCCTATCAACTTGTTATTCACTTGTACGTGTTCGAATTCACAACAATTTTCTTTCTGGGACAGTTCCTGTAGGTCTTGGCAAGCTTGGGAAGCTTCAAAGGTTAGAATTGGCAAACAATAGTCTTTCTGGTGAAATTCCTGATGACATTGCTTCTTCCACATCCCTTTCCTTCATTGATCTCTCTACAAACAAACTCCGTTCTTCTCTTCCCTCCACTGTCCTTTCCATTCCAAACCTGCAAGCTTTCATGGTCTCCAACAACAACTTGGAAGGTGAAATCCCAGACCAATTCCAGGACTGTCCATCACTTGCAGTTCTTGATCTTTCATCAAATCATCTATCTGGAAGCATTCCAGAAAGCATTGCTTCTTGTCAGAAGTTGGTAAATTTGAACCTCCAAAACAACCAATTGACTGGTCAAATCCCAAATTCATTAGCTAAGATGCCTTCATTGGCCATGGTTGATCTTTCCAACAATTCTCTGACAGGCCAAATACCTGAAAGCTTTGGAATTTCTCCAGCTCTTGAAGCACTCAATGTCTCATACAATAAGTTAGAAGGCCCAGTCCCAGCAAATGGAATACTAAGAACAGTAAACCCAAATGATCTCGCGGGCAATGCTGGCCTATGTGGTGGTGTACTCCCTCCATGTGACCAAAACTCTGCCTACTTTTCAAGGCAAAGAAGCTTACGCACAAAGCATATGATTACGGCATGGATCACTGGAATATCATCAATCCTAGTTATTGGGATAGCGACTGTGGTAGCAAGATCTTTGTACATGAGATGGTACACTGACGGATTTTGCTTCCGAGAAAGATTTTATAAGGGTAGCAAAGGGTGGCCCTGGAGATTGATGGCATTTCAGAGGCTTGGTTTTACAAGTACTGACATTCTAGCTTGCATCAAGGAAACAAATTTGATTGGCATGGGAGCCACAGGGGTTGTTTATAAGGCTGAGGTACCGCAATCAAATACAGTTGTGGCAGTGAAAAAGTTGTGGAGAACAGGAACTGATATTGAAGTAGGAAGCAGTGGTGACCTTGTGGGGGAGGTGAATCTTTTAGGGAGATTAAGACATAGGAACATTGTTAGACTGTTAGGATTTCTTCATAATGACATTGATCTGATGATAGTTTATGAATTCATGCACAATGGCAACCTAGGAGAAGCCTTGCACGGTAGACAAGCAACAAGACTGCTTGTAGACTGGGTTTCGCGGTACAACATAGCTCTAGGAGTTGCACAAGGACTTGCTTATCTTCATCATGATTGTCATCCACCTGTTATCCATCGAGACATCAAGTCAAACAATATATTGCTTGATGCAAATCTTGAGGCAAGGATAGCAGATTTTGGTTTAGCCAAGATGATGATCCGGAAGAATGAAACAGTCTCCATGGTTGCTGGATCTTATGGCTACATTGCCCCTGGTGAGTTACTAGTTCATAAATCATACTTTATCAGTTCATGGCTACATTAGCTTCCAAACCACTTTAGATCAAGCAGGATATGTAGTGTAAACATCAGAGAAAATATCTTTCAAATAGCATATCACTAGATGTTTATATTTGTATTGTATACATTATTTGTTTAGATGTAGATATTCATGACATTTCAATGATTTACTATTTGGCAGAATATGGATATGCGTTAAAGGTAGATGAAAAGATTGATGTTTACAGTTATGGAGTAGTTTTGTTGGAGCTTCTCACAGGAAAGAGGCCTTTAGATACAGACTTTGGAGAGTCAATAGACATAGTAGAGTGGATTAGAATGAAGATTAGAGACAACAAATCTCTAGAAGAAGCATTAGACCCCAGTGTAGGAAATAGCAGGCATGTTGTAGAAGAGATGCTTTTAGTTCTAAGAATAGCAACTCTATGCACTGCCAAGCTCCCCAAGGACAGACCAACCATGAGGGACGTCATTATGATGCTTGGAGAGGCAAAGCCTCGGAGAAAGAGCAGTGGCAATGATGCAGCTAACAACAAAGAGTCACCAGTTTTTAGCACATCTCCAGTTAATGGCCTAATGTAGGAGCCAAAAATCAGTTTATCCTGTTTATCAACCTGTTTAGAGCTGTAATTTTGTAATCAGTTATTCGTATTTATCTTTAAAATATTATTTGGTATATCAACATGTATTGATTTTTTGAAAATAAATTTTCTTTTGTATCCTGGTTTTGGTAGGGAGACAGAGATTTCAACAGAAACTAAGATAAAGCAATTGTACCTATTGTTCTTTGAATAGGAATAAAAACTCTCTAGACGTACTGATGAAGAAAACAAAAGTAACTTGGTCTGAGATTTTGTTTTTTTACTTTACACCTGTGGATAAGAGGAAGTCTCTTTCACAAAGATCCATTGGACCGGTGCACTTGACCAAGGCACAATTTCTGTTTTTCATAATCTCAATCCTGAAAAAACAAAAACAAAAATAAGCAGAGAATATAGTCCGTCAAGCTCTAGGCTCTTGTTATTTTTTTTCCACTAAACTCTTCATTTTTCATTTTTGTTGCTCTAGGCTCTTAAGTGCTAGACTCAATTTTATTTACAGACCATGATAATAAATTAAAGGCTTAAGTTTTTAGTCCTTAATTAGCCCCTAAAAAATAAAAATGTTTCTTTTAATACTTCAAAACTCTAAAATGATATATTTTCAGACTTTACACTAACGGTGTTACGTTTGTGTAACAATGATTAACAGAATTCTTGTCAGCGCCTGCCACGTGTTATAATAATCTATTAAGCACTTACAATAATCTATTAATTGCACAATTTAATGTTGATCATATGTTCAAGTTTGCAATTTGTGGCATCAATAACATGCACATCACACAACACTACTAAATATCGAGTTTATTTCAAGTTTTTGAGTTTAAAGATGTTATCTGATTAAAGAAAACGAAATTAAGAAACCTTCAGTCAGTCCTCAGCAAACCAAGCCAATAACCAACATAAAATAAACATGACAAACAAGTGCAAAGGGCCACAAAGAAATAGGACTTTTATTATCGAATCACAGACTAGATTACATGTATTATAATTGTATCCTAAGCAAACGGGAGCTAAGGTGAGCTAACAACAAGCTACTCAGTGTATAGGACTGTGACGTAATGATACAATTTTGTTATCACCAATAATCGCCACAAGAACAACTACCATTTCTAAAATGGTGAAATCTACTAGCATCTCTTATCACAATTTCCCGTCCAGTAACCTTGGCTATAAGTTTAATTGCATTATGGCAATCACCACACACACGATGGCCCTGAGTGATTTGCAAAGGTGTCCAATGTGGAGTGTTGATAAGTCCAAAAGCTATAGCCAGCTTTTCGCTGTGGTATTTTAGAATGCGCTGTTCCTCTTCATTCACATCAGGAAGCAAAGTTTCATTCTCCTCAACATAATCATGCCTAGATATCTCAACCATCAGGTTGTCCACCTTTTCATAAATTTCCTTTCTTTGGGAATGAGATTTATCTCCGCAAAGGAAGGCATAAGGTTGTTTTTTTATCTCAATCCAACTACACGCTGAAAGCATTCTTAAACCCTTCCTCTTTAAGGTCTGCAAAACACCTGCAGCTTCCTTCAATTTTCCACAACTGTTGTATAGGTTCAGAAGCACTACATAATTACACAGCTTCTCCGGCTCCATCCCATAAAGCTTTTCAGCCGCCAACTTCCCCAGCTCTAGATTCTCGTTCATTCTGCATGCTGTCAACAGGGCTGCCCACATGTTTTTCGTTGGTTGGAAGGGAGAACTTCTTATTAGTGCGCAAGCCTCGTCTAATAAGCCCTCCCGGCCTAATAGTTCAATCATACATGCATAATGCATTGCTCTGGGCTTAACCTTGTGATCTCTACTCATAGAGTGAAAAATCTCCCAACCTCTTTCTGATAATCCTGAATAGCTACAAGCAGATAAGACAGCAAGGAAAGTAACATGGTTAGGAATCATCCCTTCTTGAAGCATCTGCTCAAACATTTCTACAGCCTCTTCTCCTTGACCGTGGTTACCATATCCAGCAATCAATGCATTCCAAGATATGATATTCTTGCAGCTCATCCTGTTGAAAACATGCTGGGCATTTTCCATCCTACCCCATTTGCTATAGAAGTCAACAAGTGCAGTGTTTGCCACTATATCTGTGCCATAACCATGACGAACTAAAGCAGCATGAGCTTGCTTTGCATATTCTAATGACGCCAATCTCGCACAAATTCTTATCACTATTGAAATAGTAAAATGATCTATTGCTGCACCGCTATCTCGCATTCCATAGTATAAACTAAGAGCTTCCTCACTATAACCATGAAGTGCATAGGTAGCGATAATTGAATTCCATCCAACAGTTGTCTTCTCTGGCATTTGATCAAATACAAAATGTGCATCGTCGATGCTACCACACTTGCCGTACATGTCAATCAGTGCACAAGACACAAAATTATCATCACCGACCCCTCTTTTCAAAGCGCATGAATGAATCTGCCTTCCCACTTGAACAAGGCCCAATCCAGCCGACGCCCTAATCATGGTTGCAAACGTGCGAGATCCTCCATCATTGAACTCTTCCCACATACAAAGAAACAGCCTAAAAGCTTCAGAGAATTTCCTAGAGTCCACAAGTCCACCAATCATGGTCATCCACGAAACCGTGTCTCTTTCAGGCATTTCATCAAACAAATTTCGTGCCTCAAGCATGAGACCACATTTCACATGCATAAACAAAAACCTGTTCATCACAAACAAATCAGGCTCAAACCCACTATTGATCATATAATTATAAACCCTCTTAACACCTCTAATCGATCTCAAACCGACACAAGCACTCACCAAAGCATCATAGGTGCGACCACCCACATCAGAGCCATCATATCCAAGTTCCAAAATTTCAAACAACTCCATTGCCTCCCGGTACCTATTATACAAAACCAGCTTCTCTATTTGACAACAGATCCCAGAAGAGGACGTTTTCCTGATCTGGCTATCCTCCAAAACAGTTACTTGTCTTTCAACATTCCCAATTTTCTTGGGTCTGGGTTTCAGCCTTCGTTCCATGGAGGAACAACAAATCCGGGAAAAGGGGCGACTCCAATAATGTCTTACCTTCGAGGCAAAGGAACGCCCCAAAGGGGAAAGGTTCCCAGGACATGAAGAACCCAGAAGAGGAGTTTGGGATTTGTGAAGAGAAAGTGCAATTTCCATTGGCAATAACAAATGTGGTGAATGAGGAAGGAGGATGAGAACGAGTGCCCCAATTCCTCATAGTGAGGAAGAGAATTTGAATGTGAATATGAAGAACAGGAAAAAGTGAGATTTGGAACGAGTCTGCATCAGAAATATTGAAGTTTCCGCCCAGTTAGGTTTGGTAGTTAGCAACTAGGCACTGATCCACCTGTACCACGTGTGAGCATTGACGATGTTACCAAGGTTGTGTCCAATTGGTGCAACATTTTTCTGTGAATCTGTGTTTTTCTATTCTGTGATTTCAAAATTTTGCATTATGTTTTTGGATAATTCCACCTAATCCAGGCAAATTTTTTTTCTAAATTCCACCTAATTCCGTGTGCTTGAGGACCTGATGTTATTTTACCAAAACATTGTTGTAAGACAAAGAAATGTATAAGATAGTTTGGGACACCAGTAGTATGATAATAATGCGTATTTTAACACAAGACACAGCCTGTGAATCCATGGATACCATCCTTTAGAAACGTCCATCATGCATGGATATTATGTAATCATCTTGGATTCTCAGAGTAATTATAATAAAGTTAAGCGTGTTCTACATGGAGAAGAAAAAATGTAGCGAAACAATCATCATTGTCTTTAAAATGAGGAATATTCAAACACCTCCTTTAAAAACATCCATTCTGTACTATTTAGTCACAAGCAAATTATACAAATAAACAATATACCCAACTTAAAACATCAGAATATTGATTGGTAATCACTGAACTTTTTTTTTTTTTTTTTAAGAATGAGACTTTACATTTACACTTCCATTTTAACAATATGTCAATCAAAGATAACCCGAGGTTAGTTTTCACTTTTGCAACAAGTATTAAAGCAAAGGATCTGAAAAGCAGGGAAAACAACTCTTATTTCAACTGAGAATTCAAAATACAATAACGGAAAGAAAAGACAATCAAAATTTGATAAGAAAGAGAGCAAACATCTCATTTACATTTACATTATTAACACAAACAGCAATGACTTATATTACAAACAATACATCGAAAATTTATGACGCCTGTGCTTCCAAGTGATATACCAAGAGAATTTGAACAAACACCATTTCAATTGAATTCAGAAAAAAAAAAGATGCCGAGGTTTGACCATGTAAATATCAAAATCCATTACTCGCAGTATTATTTAACATTCCTCTTTCTGTTTTTTCACCCATATGTATTCATTGAATTTGTACTTTTAGGCCAGAAGTTTTGTGTATGTAACGGTGCAAACTGTAAACATTATCTATATGAGGTTGCATTTTGATCTTGGAGCTGCAAATAAGTAACTATGTTAGAGAAGGAAAAAAAGAGTAACAGAAGTAATGCTAGTAATGATAATGAATCTACTTACCAAGTCCATTAGCTTCATGTGTCCTCATGATTCTTAGCCTCCTCACAGACTGAAGGAACATCCTGATTGCAATTGCAAGGAAAAATGGTACAAAAGCATCAAACCAGATAAAACAAGAGGTCCTACACCTCAACAAATCAATTGTAATTCTCAAAGCTCAACAGTTCATGCTTTTTGTTCTACATACAGTTTCTCTCCCTATTTCCCTTGTTCCAGAGAAAACCATGACGCGGTGGGCTTGGATATGCAGGATTGTGCATTGAATGACAGCTTAAGTGTGATGAAATATAGGATGTGCAATCAGGAGCAAATAGTAATACATTTAAGCCTTATATCCTGTGGCTACTTTCTGGCACCATAAAAAAATTTCATATAGAATCCTGGCCCGCCACAAGCTAATGCAAGGGTGGAAGGAACGAAGGTTTATCAAAAAAGGTAACGAGTTTACAACATATGATACTGAGGAAAACCATGTTTGTTTCTTTTTTCCAAAGGGCTTGCGATCATCAAGAAAGCAGCAAATACTTCCTACCACACATATTCTTAGATTTGCCACACCTAATGAGACAATACACATGCTACTTGAAAATCAAAACAATGCATATTTTGCTGGATGGAAAAATATACAGCATGTCAGTCCACAAGAAAGGAGAGAAACTTTGAAAACTAAAATATAATTGGTGAGTTTAAACCGAATACTTACCACCATGGAACATCTCCAACAAGCATCCAGTCTCCTTCCTTGTCTTCATAAGTGAGGACAAAGTCAGAAGAACCATCCAGCCATTTTGAATGCCCATCTGCTCCAACTATACTACTGTCATCTTCTCCATTTGATCCTGTTGAACATTCAAGGACTTGATGTTGCACTTGATGGACATGAAGATTGTTGATTTTGATGATGATTCAAGAACACAAAGACTTAGAGTGTTGAATACTTGTTTTGTATTGTAATAACTCTGTTTAAATTAGATTGAGTCTGTAATATTAGAGTTTAGGATAGCCGGTACATAGTCTGCACCTTAGAAGCTTCAAAAAGCTCAAAATTATCATCCAGGCTCGGCTTTAATCGATTAAATAGGGAAATAATCGATTAAAACAGTGAGAAAAACCATTTTCTGTATCTGCTCACTGGTTTAATCGATTAAACCTCCTGTTAATCGATTAACAGGCCTGTTAATCGATTAACAACCCTTTTAATCGATTAAAACAGTGTGTTTTGGGGTTCTGTTGATTTTGGCTCTGTAATAATCAATCTATGTATAGAGGTATGATAGGTTCACTGTTATACTTAACTGCAAGTAGACCTGATATTATGCATTCTGTATGTGTGTGTGCTAGATTTCAGGCTTGTCCAAAAGAATCTCACCTAATTGCAGTAAAACATATTTTAAAATATTTAAAAGGAACTACTGGTTTTGGATTATGGTATCCTTCCAATGCTTGTACTAGTTTAATAGGATATTCTGATGCTGATTATGGTGGATGCAAAATTGATAGGAAAAGTACTAGTGGAACATGTCATTTGTTAGGTTCATCCTTAGTATCTTGGCATTCTAAGAAACAAGCTTGTGTTGCTTTATCTATCACTGAAGCTGAATATATTGCAGCTGGTAGTTGTTGTGCTCAAATTCTGTGGATGAAACAACAGTTAGAAGATTATAGTATATTTTTAAATGACATACCTCTGATGTGTGATAATACGAGTGCAATTAATCTTACTAAGAATCCAGTAATGCACTATAGGACTAAGCACATAGAAATTAGGTATCACTTTTTGAGAGATCATATCAGCAAAGGAAACTGTAAAATAGAGTATGTTGATACAAAGCATTAATTAGCAAATATTTTTACTAAGCCTCTACCCAAGGATAGATTCTATGATCTTAGAAGAGACTTAGGGATATTAGAAATAACTTAAATTCTGCTTATTGAGACAGTTTTTGGATGATTGTAATGTTATAATTCTTTATGTAGGATGTTCATAGTTTATCATGTGTTAAAACCTCAAAAATATGATGTACTCTCTGGAATAATCGATTAATTGGAGTTATAATCGATTATTTGCATCCAAAACACTCAAAACAGGGCATTCTTCTCTGGATTAATCGATTAATTCGATAATTAATCGATTAAATATAGAATTAATCGATTATCTGCTCAATTTAATCGATTAAATGTCTCTGGCACTGTTTTAATCGATTAAACCTCTCAAGTTTGGCTTCCTAGCCGTTGCCAACGGATCTCTTGACCTATATTCACTTCCATATGACCGTTGGACATGCTTGATTATAAATAGGGGCCTCCATATCACTTCTACTCACTTCTATCTCTTGAAATCAAGCTTTCTTACCTTATTCTAGCAAAATTGCCCTCTTCTCACTACACTTAGCTTTCTAAATCTTCTTGTTATTCCTCTAATCTTTCAATGGCCTCATCTTCTCGTGCTAAGATCCCTACTAAGAGAAGATTTGCACCCTCATCTCGTCCTCGTCCTAATTCTGTAGAAGGATGGATCTCTGATACAGATGGCCAACAAGAATTTCTGACCTACTGGAAGGAATGTGTTATTATTTCTCCCAAGTTTCTTATTGGTGAGCAATTCATCAATAGGGGATTCAACTTTCCCAACCTTCTTGAAATTCAAGGAGTTCTTCCCTTCATCCAAATGCAAGGTACTTATTATCCTGACTTAGTTAGGGTATTTTACTCTAGATTTAAATTTAGAGATCAAATTGCTACTTCTAGAGTAAAGGGTGTCACAATTATTCTTGACGATGATATTTGGGAAAACGTCGCTCAATTTCCAATTAGAGAAGATGCTATTAACATTTATGGTGAGTTAGATGGTTTTGACAGGTTTTTAGCTTACCGTTCTTTTCTGAGAAATCCCTCCATGGAGATTGGGCGTCTCCTTCATGTTGGACCTTTAAAGAAGGAAGAACGCATGATTCTACATCTAATTGTCTGGATCCTCTGTCCCCGGGCTACAAATCATGCTCAATGTTCTTCAATTGATCTTAGGATTATTCATGCAATAATGAATAATGAGCCTTTAGATTGGGGCGTTCTTGTCACCATGACTATGTTAAAAGCCAAACGCCATCCCACCTTCAAAATTCCATATGCCCTCCTTGTCTCTCGGATTCTTGAATACAAGGGAGTCAATGTCGAAGGTGAACAAACAGTAAGAACAAATAACTTGAATCGCATGCTTGACAACACATTGATCCAACTACAAATGGTGCGTGTCAACGACATTTATGTTCACAAGGATGACGTTCTGAATCAAGGTGGTGACAATGAAGATTCTGATGAAGATATGTCTGCTGCTGCTGAGTTTCCCTCTGATCAAATCCAAAGTGTTGGAACTTCCTCTACTCATCATGAAACTTGACAATCCATGGAAGACATGTTATCTGACATGAATCAGAGGATGCAGTCATTCTTCACTCTTTCTGGAGTACGGCATGAGGAAATAATTTGCCGTATATCTGATGTAGATGATAAAGTGTGCCGTTTAGAAAATAGATTTGATACACACTTTCATAGTGATGATAGTGAAGAATTTTAAATTTGTTGTTATCTCTAATATTGTAATGATTGCTTGTCTCTAAAATAAAATATGGTATTCTGATATTGCTTTGATTGAGGGAGAGTTTTCTCTAAGTTATGCATATTTTGAGGGGGAGTTCTTATGTTTGTAATAGATGAATTGTTTTTTATTCTAATCAAAATAGGGGGAGAAAATATTTAAAGCCTAATATGATTGTTTTTAAATATTATCTGGTATATTATCTGGTATGTTTAATGTGTTTGTTAGTATGACAGATAAAACAAGTTATTACAAGGCTTTAAAAGATAATTTTGATCATCATCAAAAAGGGGGAGATTCTTGAACATTCAAGGACTTGATATTGCACTTGATGGACATGAAGATTGTTGATTTTGATGATGATTCAAGAACACAAAGACTTAGAGTGTTGAAGACTTGTTTTGTATTGTAATAACTCTGTTTAAATTAGATTGATTCTATAATATTAGAGTTTAAGATAGCCGGTACATAGTCTGCACCTTAGAAGCTTCAAAAAGCTCAAAATTATCATCCAGGCTCGGCTTTAATCGATTAAATAGGGAAATAATCGATTAAAACAGTGAGAAAAACCATTTTCTGTATCTGCTCACTGGTTTAATCGATTAAACCTCCTATTAATCGATTAACAGGCCTGTTAATCGATTAACAACCCTTTTAATCGATTAAAACAGTGTGTTTTGGGGTTCTGTTGATTTTGGCTCTGTAATAATCGATTAATACTTCATTTAATCGATTATTTCAGTCAGATTTTGATTTCTAACTTCAAATCAACCCTATTTTCAAAAACCCTTTTCCTAAGAACCCTAATTCCGAAATTCCCAATTCCCAAACCCTAATTTCTCTACTTAAGCTTCTCTATGGCAGTCAGAAAACAAGAACAACCTTTTTCATACAAAAGTTAAGTGTTGTGAGTGCCAGATAACTATTTGTTGCAAGAAAAAGGGGCTTTCGGAACCTGGTGTGGGCTAGAAGCGATAAGAATCACTAAGTGGAGTTCTTAGTGGATTGTGTGCTGTGCCGTCTATAGGGAAAACTGTTTTTCATCTCTTGTGGATTTCAAGAGAGGTGTTTTCGTATCTTTATCTTTTCAATTGTAATTTGTTTGTAACAACTTGATTATAGTGACAGCGTTAATCCTCTCTTTGAGTGATTAGCAACTGGACGTAAGGTCTTTTGATCTGAACCAGTATAAATCTCCTGTGTAAGATTCTCTTCTCTTCTCTATTTACATTTACACAGTTTTTAATTGGTAAAATTTGGGGAAAATTTTGAAAACCTAATTTTTATTAAGAAACCAATTCACCCCCCTCTTGGTTTTTGTCCGTCCACGCGAACATTCCGTTGCGCGATTCTAACAGATCTTAGACAATGATGTCAACGCCATTAGGGGAAAGGAGGAATCAAACACATTGAATAGACAAAATTAAACTTTATGCTATATCAAAACCAAAAATGCACAAAACACCGATAGAAAAAAAATTATTGAATGAATGGTCTGTAAAATTCTTATTTTTCCTATTGTTGTTATGTTTTCTGTTGGTTTACTTGTGTCAGTTGTATTGGTCAGTCATGAATTTACTCTGATTTTGGACAGATTTATACTCTAAATGTAATGGGTACATAATATTCTATGCATAAGATGATAGGTTGTAATTCCACGTGTATTTGGTTTAAATATAATTCAATAAGTTAAATACAACATGGTTAGCATAAAATACAAAAATAGCTCTATTTCTCCTTATCACCTTTCTCCTTCCATGTTATGGTTCTATTTTAGCTTTTTAGGGTTAAAGGTATCTTAATTTAAGAGTGGTATCTAGAAGAATGTTCTTATAGGTTATGGGTCAAAAAAAAATGTGAGGAGAGTTTAAATACTAGTGAGGAATCAATGGCTCCAGGGAACAATGTTAGTTTTGTTGTTCCCCAATTTTTTGGGTAATTATCACATATAGATAGTCAAAATGAGACAATGTTAAAAATTTATTGACTTATAGAGTATGCAGATCAAGATAAGTAAGTTCTACCTTTAAAAGTTAATCCTACTATAACGCAAATCAAGCAACATGAAGAGGAGACTATAAAAAAGGAGAAGTTGTCTCATGTCTACATTCGGCTTTAGTAGATGAGGTCTTTATCAACATTATGTATTTGGAAATAACCAAGTAGATATGGGATGAACGGAATGAAAGATATGTAGATGAAGAAAGGGTAAGGTGCATCCAAATTTTGACAATTCAAAATTGT